GAAAGAACAAACTCGCCTTTTTAAAGATCATGTTGAAATAACTCAAAAGTGCTACAAAAATAATTTATATTGTGACTTTTTTGTAGGCAAAAGCAAAACATGTTTTATCCATAGCAAGGCCTGACAATCAGCCATGAAGTTTATTACCAATTTTATCTTGAAGATTATTGGCCAGGACATTGGGATAAACTGGTAGGAGAATCTATAACCAGGGGTCACAGTCTTAAAATTAAAGGTCAGCCTTTTAGAACAGAGTTGAGGAAATATTTCTTCACTCAGAGGGTAGAGAATTTATGGAATTCACTACCCCAAAAGGCTGTAGATGCTCAGTCCTTGAACATCTTCAAGGCTGAGACTGATAGATTTTTTAAAAAACAGAGGGATTAGGGGATATGGGGATAGAGCAGGTAATTAGAGTTAGGTCTGAAGATCAGCCATGATCTTATCAAATGGCGGGGCAGGCTCGAGGGGCCGAATGGCCTACTCCTGCTCCTAATTCTTATGTTCTTATGTTCTTAAACTTCCTCTCTTTTTGAATAAACCTGGCATCTTTAACGTCCATCTGAGCAGGCAGACTGGACTTTGGTTCAACGCCTTGTTCAATCACAAAAAAGAAACCTCAGCTAATGCAGCACTCCCTCAGCAGTGTTCCTGAAATATTCGCCTAGATGAAGAGCTCCACTCTTAACATAGGGTTTAAAATGACCACCTTCTGTCATATGATTAACTGAGTCAAACTGGCACATAACTATTAGGAGGTGGCACATAATAAAACCATTTGAGATTGCGTAGCCCCTGTTTTTTCCCCTTATCCTGTGGTGCTGGGTTTGACTCCAACTCGAGTTCTACAACAACACCAACAAATAGCATTTATGTAGCCCCTTTGACATTGGGAGGATATTCTAAGGTGCTGGACAGTGAAGGGTTTGCACCTGAACTGCGAGTTGGAATCAGAGATGGGTGGAGGGCAAGGAGGGTGGTTGAAGGAAGATGACCGAAGGCACGGTCGAAAAGGAAGATCTTGAGATGGATCTTGAAGGAGGCAAGGGAGGGAGCAAGGCGGAGGGGCTTTGGGATGGTGTTTCAGAGAGTGGGGGCAAAACGCCTGAAGGCCCGAACGTCGATAGTGAAGCAGGAAGGACGGGGAACAGGAAGCAGACCAGTGCCTGCAGAGCGGAGGGAGCGGACAGATAGGTGAAGTTTTAATAGGTCACAGGGGTACGAAGGAGCAAGACTATGGAGGATTTTAAAGGATCTTGAACTCGATCCTCTGGGGATGGGGAGCCAGTGCATTGATATATTGGCGTATATTAAGAGCTCAAATCTGAATACGGGGTTTGAAATCATCACCTTCTGCCATATGTGGAGTCCTGTAGCTCAGTGGTTAGAGAGTGGTTAGAGCACTCGCTTTGCAAGCGAGAGACCTGAGTTCAATTCCAGGCAGGGCGAAACCTTGGGCAAGTTTCCTTACTCCACACGCCTATTAATAATCCCACCGAAACCCAAAACAATAATAAATTGGTCATTTTCAATCCATGACTGTTTGTGGGACATTGCTGTGCGCAATTGGCTGCCGCGTTTCGCCCACAAATATACAGTCAATTCACTTTACAGTATATTCTGTGAAGCGCTTTGGGACGTCCTCCCGACGTGAAAAGCGCTATATCAAATGCAAGGATTATTATTATTATTATATGATTAACTGAGTCAAATTCTACTATGGAGAGAATTATTAAGTCCAATAAATGAGTTTGTATGGAATTAGTCAAAAACATACTGTTTAATCCTAGCGGGAGGGCAGTGACTGTGCCACTGATTCAATGTTAACCCTCCCACTTACTCTTCATGAGTAATGTAGCATGATGGCATTATGACAGATTCTGAAGGATGAGGATTATTTCAGGCTGTGGCTCATACAACTTTTGCATTAAATTCCAGATGTTCACTCTGCACATCAGTGCTAAACACTTATTTCATTAACAAAGTAATTGACCACACATAGCTGCCAGCGGTATCATATATACGCTGATGTATCAAAAAAAAGTTTACAATTCACGTGGAACAAAACCTGATCTGCAGATATGTTGATATCAAGACTCGGTTTGTTTCTGCTAAATTAATGGTTTGTTGAGTCATTAATTACCTTCTGTGTAAAAAAAACACCTTTCTTTATCGACTGTGCCTTTGGTCACCTTCCTTCCCCCGGCACCCCCCGTCCTCCACCCTCTCCAATCCCGACCCCCAGCTCGGGTCTGAAATACTGATTGCCCAGCGCCTTGGAACTTCCTCCTGACGTGAAAGGCGCTATACAAATGTAATTTTTTGTTTGTTGTTGTAAATTTCACTTATGGTCATTTTCAAATTGTACACATCTAACATTGTAACAATATATTGGTAAGGTTCCTGGCCAGGATTGAGTCCTTGATTATTTCAGTGATTTCTCACTACTTCACTGATCTTCCCCCATTCCCCTGCCCCAACCATTGCAATCTTATTTTCCTTATTGGTTGCTAAAGGTTTGGATGTCCAAAGGGTGCTCAGTGCCTTTCACTTTTTTTTGTAACAAGTGAAAAGTGCTCTTTTTAAACATAAAGATCATTATTATTCTAGATCCCAGTCCTAGGGGGCAATGGAATTGTTGTTCTCCCATCTGCCTATTTTCTCTCATGAAACAATTTTACATGTCTCAGAATGGCAGTGAGTAGACTGGGTGAAGCAGCTTCCAGCAATAGTTCTGAAGTGTAAACCCAGAACAATATTTTGGGATGCACCAAGACAGTAGAACAAGAGTACCTAGGTTTAGAGTTGCAATTCCAGGACATGCACCAGAAAGGTTTTCTTTATCCAGAAGATAATTAATGACTGGAACAGGTTGTAAGGAAGGGCGGTTGAGGCCAGGACATTGGAGTCATTTAAAAAGCAACTCGATGCTGTGCTAGGAGGATGATAGGGTGGGTATTTTGGAGGGGTGAGATCAGATGCACCGTAGGGCTTTTCTTCATCCAAACCAATCTTGTGAAGTATCTTGATGTGAAAATTGTTGGATAACAAGAAGCAGCCCTTTGTGTGCCGTCACTAACAGTGCAAGAGATTCTGATTGTCTGAAGTTAATGACTGGATTACTTGCTTCCTTCCCAGGGTCCTCCACAGAAGGTCAAAGGATGGATGTCCCAAAAGACAAGGAGTTTGTTCAAGACTTGATTGGGATCCACATGTACAGGAGTGGCCCAGGGATTCTACATAGCAGACTATCGAAAAGCGTGGGCATAAAGAAAGACTCCACCATATGAATGGTGTTGAGCAGTGTATTTTTGTACCTTTTTATTTCTGCTTGTTTTTAAGTTGAATAATAAACATACAACATTTAAATACCTGCGTGGGAATCCCCGCCATCATCACCACCACACACAAAAAAACAAACAAGTCATCTTTAGGGGTGCTCTTCTTGTTTTATGTGTGCATTGTATCAGTTATTTCAAGGCAAAATTCATAGAACTGTGATGTAGTACGGATTTATTTCTCAGAACACTGCACTACACGTCAATAAACGTATCAACTGCTGCATTACGCAAATGCTATAAAATGTAATCGTTTGTCATTTCTGTCCTTTTAAGAGAAAGGAATTGCCCTGACTGACAATCCACCTCCAGGGCACATGTGCACTGCTGTATCCCATTCACACATGCTCACACATTCAGTTTTAAGAATGTTAGCAAAACAATTGTTTCAAGATTTGAAAATAATATGAATCCTTGAGTTTGATCCAGCCCTGCATGTCTTTTATGTCAGGAGGATCTCTTCAAGAGTCTCACAGGATATCTCCAAAAATTTAAATCTGTCTTGCACTTTTCTCACACTCTTGGGTATAATATAAATAATAATGATGTCTTTCATCGTCAAGATGTCTCAAAGCACTTCACAGTAAAGTGTAGTGATTGTGTTTTTTTGTAGATGAACGTGGCAGACAATTTGACTTAGCAGCATCCCACAAACAGCCATTAAGTGAATAACCAATTTTATCTGGGGGATTGCTGGCCAGTGTACTGTGAAGAACTCCTTTTATTTTTGATAGAGCCATATGTTTTTTAATATCTACCTGAAGAGGCAAACAGGATCTCGGTTTAATGTCTCATCCAACCTCCAACATTGCAACAGACCTCAACACTGCATTGAAGCGTCATTCAATAGCGACTTCAAAGTCCAAATGTGGGGCTTGAAACCACAGAGGTGAGAGAATTAATACCTGAGCAAGACTGACACCTGAGCCAGCTTCCTAATTGAGCCGGAATTTAAGAATTTTCCCAAATACTTTTTTTGCGGGGGTTGGGGGGATTCTGGAAGTATAGCTTTGAAAAGTCTGGTACAACTTAAAAAAAACACATCTGTTGTTGGTATCAATTCCAACAGTTTGATTTAGTAAAACAGATTGATAACTATTATAGGAGAACAGTGATGGAGCTGCGAGCTATCACCTCAACACCAGAAGTATTCCAAACTGATATTTCGTAAATGCGCACTGCTATAATTTCAATACGCACTTCTACACAGCAATTATATCGATCCAGGACTAGACACAAAGTTCCACTTACCGAGTGATTGGGCTCGCTTGAATTATCGTATTTGCTCCTTTAAACATTGGTTGCAAATTCATAAAGAGCCTTCTTCAAATAGCCCGAGTTGGTACTTTTCAACTTCAGCCAGAGCTTCTGAACTGGGGAAAGGAAGGGATAAGAATTCCATTAAGGAATTCGGGAAAACCGTCTTCCTGATTGAGATGGAACTTTAAGAATTTTCCAAAATTCTCTATCTTCTTCAGGTTTAGACGATACAGAATTTCAGGCTTCTGTGTGGTTGAACAGCTCGCCTGCCATCAACTGTTGAGACCATTGTGAGCAAATACTGTGCATGGATGCATTTACTTGCATCTGCCTTTTATTCCCCCCAGCGCCCCCATGACTTGGATGAATAGAAGAACTTCTTCGCTCCTCAGTGTCACGATCCAGTGCCGGTCTCATCGCAACTGAAATCCGGAGCAAATCCAAACCTTCCGACTTCACTTTCCCTGTCCTTCACGGCAGCACAGGGGTGGCTACCTGGCTGACAAGCTGTGACAGTGTCTCACCGACGTGTTCCGCGGCATTCAGCAGCTCCTGCTTTACAATGGAACAGTGTCCTGCGGGAGTGAGTCAGTGGTTCAGTAATAATAATCCTTACATTTGATGTGGCGCCTTATCAGGTCGTTGGCACAGCGCTCCACAGGATTTTACTGTAAAGTGTAATGATTGTACATTTTTAAGCGAACTCGGCAGCTAAGGTGCGCACATCAATGTCTCACAAACAGTCATGAAGTGAATGACCAATTTTATCTGGGAGATTGTTGGCCAGGTCATTGTGAGAAACTCCCTTCTCTTTTTGAATAGTGCCATGGGATCTTTAACGTCCACCTGAAATAGGCAGATGGGACCTCAGTTTAACCTCTAATTTGAAAAAAGGAAACTTTCACAATGCCACACACTGCACTGAAATATCAGCCTGGACTGTGAGATCCAACTCCCAACTTGGGACTTGAATCAACAGCCATCTGAGTCAGAGGCGAGAGTGCTACCGACTAAGTCAGTCTAACACCTATACATGCAATTAAGAGAAAACCCAGGACGAATAATGACATTTGTCTTACAGCATGGAAGCTGCGTCCATTTTGTATCAACCAAGGAAGTGCTCCCTGCTCCCTGCTTGGTCAGGACTGTAACCCAACTCTTTCTTTTGTTGGTCTACTCTAATAGAGTAGTGGTAGAGTAGACCAACAAAAGCAATCAATGCTATGTCAGTTAAGTAATTGATAAAAAGAGCTAGAGTGGTATTGCTAGAGACTGGGAAATGTAGGGAGTGTTACAGACTGAGACATTGTGATTTTGGGGGGAGGGGGGTTGTTGACTGGAGGGGAAGGAATGAAAATCATTGGATTTGAACTCCTATCTCTCTGGTAGGCAGTCATGCATTGTTTTGTTTCAATGGCTAATAATATATATATTTTAGACATTTTGAAAGAGCAATACTACAGTTGACAACAAAACCATTTTGGTTGGGTAGTGAGAGATCAAGTGACCTGAACTAAAACTTACCAGCCTTCACTTTAAGAGAAAGAGCATCTTTCAGCTTCTCAACTAACTGGTGCAGCTCCTCTTCCTCATCCTCACCTTCATCCGGCAGGTTTGCTTGTTGTGTCAGGCTGCCCACAGTCACTGGCTGAGGCGCCCTGGCCAGATCTGTGCGTTGGATAATAATGCAGCCCGTATCTTCTACAGCCACCAACCCCTCCCTGTGATTGCTAGGTTCTCTCAGACACCACCTCCCTTCGGATTTATTAGTGAGGTTCAACCCAACTACAGGAGGCAGCCTTGATTCAGAGAGAATGCTCTTTCCTGTTGATGATATCTCATCCCAGCCACCTTTTGCCCTTGCTGCCTGCTGCTCTTTTTCTTTGCCTGGAGACCTTTTGCCATGGCCTCTTGGTGGAGCGATTGCATCTACTTCACCTGGAGGCTCCAGGTCCTTCACACTATGTCGTGCCCCTCGCTGTGAGAGGCCCCCTTGGGTCTGCTGGTGCAGCTGTAAAGAAGGAAAGTGAGAATGTTGGTGCCTGTTTATCGGATGACACACAATTTGTTTATTCCAATCTCTGCTGAGTTTCGTTCCAAAAATATAGGAAACACACTTTCCCAAAATTTCCCCCCTTTTCTTCTTGTAAAAATTCTGATCATCCTGTATCCAAGAGGACATGTCCTGCTAAACCCTACCGCATCAACCCCTTAAGAGATGGATGATCTTGGCTCACTTTGACTTGCTTCACTCTGTGTGAAATGTCTATTTCCCTAAACTTAGGGAGGTAGGGAAGCACCAGGGCATGAAAGGATTTGTAGACGAGTGGGAGGATCTTGAAATCGATTGAAAGACATGGCAACACATGTTATAACACCTCTTAACATTTCTTTCCCATTGGCTTCAGTTGGCATGTGGCTAGCTCACCTGGAGCAGTTGTCTCAAGGGTTGAAGCTCTTGTTGCAAACACTGGTTCTGTGCACTGATGGCTGCAATCTTCTCCTTCAAACTGCATTGTTTCTCTTCAGTCGGTGCAGAATCACTGGACTGAGCCTTCCATTTCCACCACTGCAGCTGCTGTTCAAGAAACCTAGTGGGATTCAGTGAGTGACTTTAAGGCATAAACATCTCCCCTTTCTTTCTTTTTAGGAGATATAGTGGAGGATTAGTAGAGGTAACTCCAGGTGATAGTATAGTGGATGTTGTAGTGGATGGTAATTGTCAAGGTTACTCTTGTGGAGATTAAAGGGGATGGTGAATCCAAGTGAAAGTATAGTGGGTGTTATAATAAGAACATAAGAACATATAATAGAATGGCTACTGCAGGGGCTGCTACAGTGGAATTTATAGGAAAAGACACTCTAAGGGTTAGCAAAGATGGTACTAAAGGTCAACAGAGATCAGGCAGCCTCACCACTTCTCTTGCTGTAGCTCCCCAATTATTGCCCTTGTGTCACGTAGTTCTCTTCTCATGGGAGCATCACACTTGCTGTTCATATCAATCTGGAGAGGGAGACGGAAAGAATGATGAAATTACTGCCTTACCTTCAGAGATCATGCACAGATCAGATAAGATGCCTGAAAGATGGAGGGGCAATAATTAGCTACAAATGAACATGTTCATTCTTACAGGTTGTCATTGGCACAGATGGAGACTCAGTCTATGTAAAAAGCCCCTGTTATAAAGGCAGCCAACAAAGAGATTGTTTTGCACCGGGCTCTCTGGTTTCCTTAACTTCTCTTTGATATAAGACACTACTACATTGGTACTCTTTTCATAATCTGAATTTGATATACAACAAAGTTTACAATACAATTTACACTTATAATATTGCCCTTCACACCAAACAGCTTGATAATGCCAGCTGGGCACCCAGGATGATAATGGGAGCTGGGGGCGGGAGGGGGTGTAGATGACCAAAAGTGTAGTCAAAGTAACATTGAGATTCGGTTTTGAGATGGGCCTTGAACAAGGGGAGAGAGGGAGAGAGTCAGAATGGAGTTCTAGAGAGCAGGGGCTGAAGGGCTGAAAGCCTATGGTAAGGTAGGGTGGGGGACATAAAGTGGGTTAGTGTTTGCTGTGTTGGTCTGGTTGATGGATTTATGGTTCATACAATGCCTTTCATATGAAGAGGAAATCTCAAAGCGTTTCACAGGACATACAGTAAAGTGCAGTTATTGAATATTGCCTGCTTGCTTGTTAGCCACTTTGTCCTTTTGGATGGGGCTTTAAACTGAGTCCCCATCTGGATTTTTCAGGTGGATGTTACAGATTCCTCATGGCACTATTTGAGAAGAGAAGGGAGTTTCTCTCTCCTGGTGGCCTGCCCAACAATCCCCCCAAATAAAATTGGTCGCTCACTCCATGGCTGTTTGTAGGACATTGCTGTGCGCAAACTGGCTGCCACATTTCGCCCACAAAATACACAGTTGCTCCACTTCACAGTATATCCTGTGAAGTGCTTTGAGACACCTCAACAATGTAATAAGGTGCTATATCAAGTGCAAGTATAAAAAAAGCTACTTCAACTTCTCCGTTGCCCCTTACCTTGCCTGTCCTGGTCAATGTAGCACCAGGCCTCCACCTGGATTCCCCCAGAGCTGATGGATCCGTCTGCTGTGCTTTGGATACTTTTGCCCCATACCCTGCTGCAGGGCCCAAGCCCCAAGGTTCATCATCACTTCTGCACCAGCCCCGCAAGTTATGTGAAGCAGATGGCAGTGAAGGAGGCTCTTCCACATGACTATGAGACATAAAGAGAATCCTTTAGCAGGAAAACTACTGAAAGCAGAATAAAGGGAGAACATTAGGAGATGAAAAGGGATATGCGACAAAGCAAAAGTTTATTCAAAATGTTTCGAGTGTGTATATTTTTGTAGTATAGCACAGTAAGGTTCGAGTCTGGGCTGACACAACAACAACAACAAGATTCCATTTATAGAGCGCCTTTCACGTCAGGAGGACGTCCCAAGGCGCTACACTTCAGTGCAGTACTACGGAGTTCTGCATTATTGGACATGGCATCCCTTTGGTAAGACATTAAACTGATTGCCTGTCTGCTTGTTCAGGTGGATGATAAAGATCCCATGGTAAAGAGAAAGTAGTGCTAATTTGACGAGCATAAAATTCACCAGAAAGATTGTGTTACTAGGGAGGTCACAAGCCACCAAATGGAAAAGCTTCCTCTTTTTGCATTCAACAAATTTTTAACCAGCAGATGGAATCCAGCTCTCCGAGATGCTTCCTCATGTGAAGGCCTCGATATAAATGGTGGTTGTTGTTGTTGAGTTTTCTGAGACATTTTATATGATATTTTTCCCTTGCATTATGTGTTTCAAATCTTATTTTACATTTTGCCTTCAAATAATATATAATTTTTTTGTCCAATATCCAAATTAAGAAAATACTTAAAATTATCTCCTCTTCACCATAACCTCTAACCTTCCTGGTGTAGACTTGCATGAACAGAAGCCTACTCTGGCGTGACTGAATGGGGGTAACCGGCGCGGGTGAAAGGGTGGGTCACTCCTTTTCAAACCGCTCCCCTGTTAAGTGCTCGGAGACGCTACCCACGTTAAGGTTATTATACAAATGCAAGTTGGTGTTGCTGTACCAACTTGCCCACCTTAACAACCTGTCCTCTCCCTCTGCTCAGCAGGCACTGGCCTGCTCCATGTCCCCCACCCTGCCCACCCCACCCCACCCTTGGCCGTCAAACCTTCAGCTGTTCTGTCCCCACCCTCTAAAACTCCATCCCGGAGTCCCTTTGCCTCGCCCCCTCCATTGCTTCTTTCAAAATCCATCCCAAGAACTTTCCTCTTTGACAGTGCTTTTGGTCTTCCTCCCATCCCACCCTCATTTGCCCTCTACCTCTCTTGATTCCAACTCCCAACTCGGGTGCAAGCCCTTCACTGTCCAGTGCCTCGGGACATGAAAAGCATTATATAAATGCAAGTTGTTGTTGTTGTCACTCACCAGCCCCGATTCTCGGCTGGTCTATATCCAGTCCTCACTGTGATCAGCGCTGCTCTCCGACGCGCCTCCTTCCTCTTGCAACGAGCTGTCAGCAGATTGTTGCGGACAGTGCGGACGAAAAGCTTCAGGTTTTCCTTCATGGATGTCTAGATGCAAGAGACAGAGCAAAAACACGAGCATGCACAGAAATGACCTGTATAGGTAAAGGCAGCCCAGCCGATATGATTGGCACTCACCCCATGCAGAACATGTCTCAGGAAATCATTGGTAGCCACACAACCCAGTGCTCATTCAGCTGGGTCCTTACTACTTGTTACGACTTTGGTTTGCAGGCTGCAGGACATGTCTGCACCTCCAAATTTGCCTTTGATTACTGAGGACCAGTTTGGCTGGTCTTCTCTGAGCCAGTTAAATTCCATCGAACTTGAAATGGTGATTGACACCTTCACTTCACAGGTTGTCTGATTTCCTTTACCTGTGTACAGTGCTCCATCACAGGGTGGGAACTCTTATGTCGCTTGTTTGTTTGGTCAGTGAAGAAGCACACTTGGCAAAGGTCGTAGTTCAGGCACTTCAAACATTGGTATCTGCAATTAACAACAAAAACAAAACAACAACAACTTGCCTTTATATAGCACTCTTCACACAGGGTAATGTCTTGGAGCACTTAAGGTTGGTGGAGCTTGACGCCAAGCCGGGGAGAAAGGGGAGGTGACTGTAAGCACAGTCAAAGATGAAAGTCTTCAGGTGTGATCTGAAGACAGACAATGAGTGGGAAAGGTGGAAGGATTGAGGCAGGAAATGTAATCATACAATGTCACTGATATGTGAACACTCCAGACGTGATGAGGCGCTATATTAAATGCAAGGATTATTATTATTGTTCTTTGGTGAAAATTTCCGCTGGGAGAAGGGAACTAAGTGTCCAGAGACTTAACCTTAAGACCATTGTCCTAAAATTTAAAAAGGTGCCAGATTTTGAATAATAATAATAATAATAATTCTTGCATTTGATGTAGCTCTTATCATGTTGGAAGAATGTCTCAAAGTGCTTCACAGGATTTTGTAAATGAATGCATCTGCCAATTTTCACATAGCAACATCCCACAAACAACCAGGAAGTAAATGATTAACTTTATCGGGGCTTTTTGGCCAGGACACCAGAAGAAACCCTGTTCTCTTTCCAACTAATGTCATGCACATTAACGTCCACCTGATCAGGCAGACAGGACCTCAATTTAATGTTTCATCCAAAGAACGGCACCTCAAACAAGGCCGCACTCCCCCAGCATTCTACCGGAGTGCCAGCTTAGACTAAAAGCTTAAGTCCTGATGTGGGCCTTAACCCAACCTGATGAGAGTGCTACCAACTGAGCCAGGTTTGTGCCTGTACAACTTTGCTTTTTCACAAAAGGCCAATTGGATCCCAAAACATTACTGAGAAGTTTTGTCACTGCATATTTTGTAAACGCAGCAGCCAATTTGCACACATCAATGTCCCACAAACAGCCATGAAGTGAGTGACCAATTTTATTTAGGGTATTGTTCGCTAGGAAGTCAGGAGAAATTCCCTTTTCAAATAATGCCGTGGAATCTCTTTTTCAAATAATGCCGTGGAATTTTTAACATCAACGTGAACAGGCAGGTGGGACCTTGGTTTATTGTCTTATCTGAAGGATGGCACCTTTGACTATGCAGTGGTCCTCCAGCAATGCAGTGGAGTGTCAGCTTACACTATGAGCTTAAAATCCTAATGTGGGGCTTGAACTCATAACCTTCTGACTCAGAGGTGAGGAGTGCTACTAACTAAGTCAAGCTGACCTGAACCCAGTGATAGGGAACCTCTTGCAGATGCTGCATTTTGCCTGGTGAGTGATTGCTTCAGTGGCTGAGACTCTGTAGAGTGTGGGGAGCCATGACAAGATCTGCGGCTCAGACTGTAACCAGCTGAAAAACATCTGCTCAGAAATCCCGGAGGTCAGCACCTGTGAATCAGGAGGCAAAGCTCAATGAAAACTGGCAGTGGCAGAAAAATAACTGGGGCACATGGTTCATTGATAAATGTTACAATATTTGCATTGGTTTAGAGCACTTCTAATCTCTAGTCTTGGTCATCTTCATGTGAGTTACTTGTGAAGCGTATGCCAACAAGCGTAGCAATTAACCTTCAGCAGAAACCGTCCACAAACAGCAAAGGAATGAATAACTAAACTTAATTTGTTTTTGGCAATCCCTTACTTCCAATTCCCCTCTGCCTTCCCATCTTCCACTCCTGAAGGCATTTGACTACTTTTTGCTTCTACAATGGTGTAGTTCCCACAGGCTTTCTATTAGTCCTGGGCCAGGTCACACATTGAATTTTAAGGTATTTCACCATGCAGTGCAGTTGAACCCAATGATGTCCTCGATCGACAACTGAAGAGTCTGGAGCAACAACAACAACTTGCATTTATACAGGTTGAATCAGAAGTCCTTTCTCAAAAGCCTGGTGTGATAATAATAATCCTTGCAGTTGATAGGAGCTATGGCTGATTTTATCTGTTAGGTCAGGGTATTAAGGGATATGGGAAAAGGGCAGGTAACTGGACTTGAGGTACAGATCAGTCATGATCTTATAGAATGGCGGAACAGGCTCGAGGGGCTGAATGGCCTATTCCTGTTTCTATGTTTCTACTTCCCTTAACTCATGAACGTTACTGATTGTAGCCCCAAGCTGCTGAGATCTGTTAACTTGAACCTCTGAACTTGAGGTCTGAATGGCTTGGGAAGCAATGGGCAGTGCATTTACTCACTAGGATATCAGCACAATTGTGACAGCTGGCCCTGTTCCACTCACCCCCTGAAAGCAGCTGTGTATGGCATTCTCCAGCTGCTCAAAGGCCTTGCCCTCACACACTGCTGCAGGTATCTGAAATCACACAGGGTAAAATACAATATAATAACAACATTTATATAGCGCCCTTCACGTGGGGCAACGTCTTGGAGTGCTTCACAGTGGAGGAGACTAACTCCCAACCGAGGTGACCGTAAGCACGATCGAAGAGGAAGTTCATCAGTCGTAATCCTAAAGAGGGGAAGAAGAGGGCAAGATGCAAGGTATAATGCAAATTATATAATTATACACTTCGGAAGGGCATCTCAAAGAGCTTGACAAGAGTAAGGTGTTTTATTTCTTCCACTAGTTTCCGCTGTTCAGTCCAGAAGTCTCTGTGGTTGCAATATGTCTTTATGGAATGATAAAGCCAGCTTGTGCACATTCTCTGCCATTCATCCACTGGCATGGAGATGCGAGCATTTGCCAAGTAGGGGCTTGGACATGCTTATCCCACTTTAAGCCTCGTCCACATTGGTACTGATGTATTCAATGTCTTTAAAGTAACAATACAGCTGGCCCTGTTTCACTCACCCCGTGAAAGCAGCTGTGTTGAATTTGGAGTGTTGGCAATCCACCGAGTTCTAGTCACACTGTCTTTCCTGAAGAACATACCTGCTGCAGGTCATGTAAAACCATCCTCAGGGCGCTTCGAGTCACATTGCTGCCACCCCCACGGTGACCGCTGCTTAGAGCCGACCACTGAGCCACCAGCTGAAACAGAACTAAACGCAAAAGATTTAAAACCCAGGAAGCTTTACTCTTCCCTCTCCCCGAAGAGGAAAACAAAGGAAAGACAAGGATAATGGAGAAGTGAAAGAAGGTGAAACAGAAAGGAGAAAAAAAGAGCAATGTGTTAAATCATTTTTATCTGTTCTGAACTGCTTGTATTGGGAGTGTGGTTTGTGTCAATTTCCTGATTACATTACAATACAATTTGTAGTGTCTTTCATGTTGGAAGGATATCTCAAAGCACTTGACACTGCTGGCTGGGTACCCGAGCTGGCGGAGAGAGCCATGGGTCTCAGGGGTGGGGAAAGATTCCCCCAGGCATGGTCAAAGAGGTACGTCTTGATTGCCAAAAGCTTAGCAGCACCTTCAGCAGCAATATGGAGAAACTGCAGGTGTCAGAACAATGACATTTAATCACAATATATCACAAAAACAGAGGCATTTTCAGCACAGGATGAAATGTGGTCAATGATGCTTCTCTAGTGAGCTTGGGAAATACCCTCTCTAATCCCTATAGCTCTGCCCTCAACAGATGACTTACTCCTGTCCTTTACTGAGTCTAGAGACTTACCTACTCTCATCACAGTTTATTCCTCCTAAAAATACGCTCACATACATCCCAGCCCTGTGATGAATGATTCTGCTTGCCTTTCAGCCTACTGCCCTATTGCCGTAGGATCTGCAGTGTCTAAAGTTATGAATTGTCAATGTGTGCGTCACGTGAATGCGCAGGTTCTAATTCACGACAACTGTAATGCAGTTTCAAGGTGTAATTTGGTTTTATACTGAGGTGGTAAATAGCAATGAATTGTAGAACATACTGAACAGAGAAGAATAGCACTTAGCCCCCAGCAATGACAAGTCAACCCAGACCAAGACTATCAGATGCAACAAGCCAGTAAATCAAGAGGACACATGTTTAGAGTTGCAAAGAACAATATTAGGACAGACACCAGAAAATATGTCTTTATCTAGAGGGTAATTAATGACCGTCACAGGTTACCAGGAAGGGTGGTTGAGGCCGGATTGCTGGACTCATTTAAAAACCAGCTAGATGCTGTGATGGGGTGGGCAGTAGGCTGGGTGTTTTAGAAGGATGAGATCAATGGGTTGAAAGGTCTTCTTCATCCAAACCAACCTTATGATCTTGTGAATTCACCACAGGAAGTGCAGAGAGCAGAATAAATCCATGTGTTCTATAATGATGTTACTGAACAGAGAATACAAATACACCTCAAATAGTTGCGAAAAATTCGCATTTGCACCTATGTTTCTGCCCAGTTTATTGATTGGGGAGAAGCTGAATGCAGGAGGAAAGTGGAACTGTGGGAAAATGGCACCGAAATGTTTTTTTCCAATCCAGTACATGCCTGGAGGTTCCTATGAAATGACACAAATAACTTTTATTTATTTACTGCCCATCCCCTGAACCCCTGTCCCCTGATCAGTAGCTGTGTTTTCAATCACTACACCCCCTAACCCCACCACTATACAGCTTTCCAAGATGCTTTCCTGCATAATATAAATGCAAGTTGTTGTTGTGAGACTGCATCTCCTTTTACAAGGATTGTTCTGAGAGATTGGGTTGAATGATAGTCCACCCTCCTAGCGGTGGTTCTCACCTCGGTATTTTGTGGAAAGTTTATCTGCTGAGAGAGTGACGAGGGCAGCGGCAACAGATCTGAACTGAATGGAACCAGTTCTGTTCCTGTCAGAAAATAAATAAAATGAATCATTACAACGTGACAGACCGAAGCGTCAGCATTAACCAATTCATTCATTGGCAAACCTCTGGAGCGTCACTCCCTCTAAATAGTCTACTTGTGAGTCTCCTGAGTGTCACTCCCTCTGGTTATTATATGAGTGATCCTATACATCTCTCTCTGACTAGTTCAGTAATAACCCATCCGAGTGCCACCTCTCTGACCAGTCCAGGAACAACAGTCACTACACTTTTACAGAAAATCCTGTGAGAAACTTTGAGAACATTCTCCTGACATGAAAGGCACTAGATCAAACGATTCAAAAGGTGGCAACTTCTTCATAATTATAAACTTAAGGTCAGCATGTTAAGAAATTGACACTAATGATTTAAAAGTGGGAAGAGAGTGGTGGTGAAGGAGGGAGAAGATTATGCTCTAATTTTATTACTAGGGTAGACGCTCACCTGTCAAACATATTGAGGAGGAGATTTAGAGTGAGTTGTGGTCCCACTGACTCCACCTGACCAGGCTCCTCCCGCCTGGCAGCATTGAATAGTAACTTCAGCATGTCGGCCAGCTCCTGCACTGAACACATGCCGTTCGCTTCCAGCTGAGGCCAGCGTCTCTTCAGGATATCTCCGATCAATGACAGATCCACCAAGTGCACTGCAGTTAAAGGGAAGGAGAACAAACGTGTATAGGAAGAGTCATTGTCAGAGAGAAATTCTTGTCCTCAACCCCTCTCTTCCCGCCCTTGCTGAGATACAATCCCCTTAACCAGCTGAACTCCACAACCACAGCCACCACATACATTTGTATAATGCCTTTCACAGCTGGGGGTGTGTGGTGGGGAGGGGGGGGTAAGAGAGGTCCACTCCTCCATCACCACAAGCAACCGCTCTCCTTCCTTCTCCCGGCACCTTCCCATACCAGCGTAGGAGATGCAACACCTGCCCGTTCACTTCCTCCCATAAAACTGTCCAGGGTCCCAAACACTGCTTCAGGATGAGACAGAGATTTACATGTAATTCCACTAACCTAGTGTATCCTGTATTCACTGCTTACAGTATGGTCTCCTCTACATCCAAACGGGTACTGGATCAGATTGGGAGATTGCTTTGCCCAATACCTATGTTCCATCCGCAAATGCAACCCTCAGCTTCCGGTCACTTGCCACTTCAATTTTCCTTCCCACTCCCACTCTGACTTCTCTGTCGATGGTCTCTTACGCTGTTCCAACAAAACACAATGCAAGCTCAAGGAACATCACCTCATCTACGTCCTAGGCACCTTATAGCCCTCTGGCCTCAGCATTGATTTTATCCACTTCAGACCTTAAACACAGCTACAACAACAACAACAACTTGGATTTATATAGCGCCCTCCACGCCGGACGGCATCTCAGAGTGCTTTACAGTTTAGGATCCCAGGACCGAGCCAGGGGAAGGGGTGGGAAGGTGACCAAAGGAGCAGTCGAAAAGAAAGGTCTTTAGCAGAGATCTGAAAATGGGAAGGGAGGGAGTGAGATGAAGGGGGTGAGGAAGGCAGTTCCAGACCTCGGGGCATGGTGGCTGAAGGCATGGCCGCTGAGGGTGGAGCGGAGGACTCGGGGGACAAGGAGGAGGCCAGACCTAGAGGAATGAAGGCAACGGGTACTGTGCTGAGGAGAGAGGAGGTCAGAGCGGTAGGGGAGTGCAGAAGAGTGTAGGGACTTGAATACGAGGGTGAGGATCTTGAAATCAATCCTCTGCGGGATAGGGAGCCAGTGCAGTCTGGCAAGGACTGGGGTGATCGGGGAGCGGAGTTTAGTACGGTTGAGAATGTGGGCGGCAGAGTTCTGAATTAGTTGGATTTTATGGATGTAGTGGATGGGAGACAGGTGAGGAGGGCGTTTGAATCGTGCAGCCGAGAGGTGACAAAGGCATGGACCAGAGTTTCAGCGGCTTTTGGGGAGAGGTATTTGCGGAGATGGGTGATGCGTCGGAGGTGGAAGAAGGCGGTGCTGGTGAGGGACAGGATGTGGGGGAGGAAGGATAATTGGCAGTCGAACCTGACGCCTAGGTTGCGTACGGGTTTGGAGAGTTTTAGGGGGAGGTCGGGTAGGTGGAGGAAGTGAGGACCGTGAGAATTTAGACGTTGACGAGAGCCGAAGAGTATGGCTTCTGTCTTGTCAACGTTCAGCTGAAGGAAGTTTGCGCTCATCCAGCCCCTGAGATCTGACAGGCAGGCTGATAGAACATCAGGGGACTGGGGGTCGCAAAGAGAGGTGGAAAAGTAGAGTTGGGTGTCATCTGCAGTAGCTCAGTGGTTAGAGCACTCGCTTTGCAAGTGAGAGACCTGAGTTCAATTCCAGGCAGAGCGAAACCTTGGGCAAGTTTCCTTACTCCACACGCCTAATAATAATCCCTCCAAAAAAACAAAATAATAATAAATGGGTCATTTTCAATCTACGACTGTTTGTGGGACATTGCTGTGCGCAATTGGCTGCCGCGTTCACCCACAAATATACAGTCAATTCACTTTACAGTGTGTTCTGTGAAGCGCTTTGGGACGTCCTCCTGACGTGAAAAGCGCTATATCAAATGCAAGGATTATTATTATTATTATTATGTAGAAATGTACCCCATGTCTGCGGATGACATCCCCAAGAGGGAGCATGTAGAGGAGGGGGCCAAGGATGGATCCTTGGGGAACCCCGCAGGTGACCGGATGAGAGCGGGAGGAGAAGTTGTTTGTGCAGATGTACTGCTGGCGGTTTGTGAGGTAGGACTCGAACCAGGCGAGTGCGGTCCCACTGAGGTGGATGACGGAGGAAAGGCGGTGGAGGAGGATGGCGTGATCGACTGTGTCGAACACGGCAGAGAGGTCCAGGAGGACAAGGAGGCAGAGGGAGCCCTGGTCACAGATAGAGAGGATGTGATATGCGACTTTCACGAGCGCAGTCTCTGTACTGTGGGCAGGGCAGAAACCGAACTGGAGGGGTTCGAAAAGGGAGTGGGAGGAGAGGTGTGCGCCAAGTTGGTTTGCAACAACGCGTTCTAAAACTTTTGAGAGGAAGGGCAGGTTAGAAATAGGGTGGTAATGGCTGGGGTTTGAGAGATCTAGGGAGGGTTTTTTCAGGAGGGGCATGATGACAACAGTTTTGAGGGAGGCAGGGACTGATCCGAAGGAGAGGGACTGGTTGATGATGTCAGCCAGTAGTGGGCAGAGGAGGGGGAGCTGTGTGACCAGTAAGTTGGTGGGGAGGGGGTCGAGGCAGCAGGTGGTGGGTTTCATGGAGGTGATGGTGGGCGAGAGGGAGGAGGGAGAGATGGGGAAGAAAGAGTTTAGAAAGGGGGTGGTGGTCGGAGCAGATGAGCAGCTCCCATCTTCTCTCAGCCATAACTCCCCCTCCTCCTCTTCTATAACCAGTCACACATCCTCTGGGTCTCAGACAAATCTTTTCCTTCTATAATCTCCCACTATTGCCTTCTTTTGACTTGCACCATCAACACTTCTGATCTCATCATCTACTGTCCCCCACCTAATATTTTCACCCCCTTCTCTATTTCTCCTTATAAACTGCTCCCTTTTAACATCCCCAAGTTCTGACAAAAGATCATCAACCGAGAATCATAGAATTTTACAGCACAGAAGGAGGTCATTTGGCCCATCGTGCATGTGTTGGCTCTTACCAACTTGTCCCACTCCCCATGCTCCTACCCCATAGCCCAGCAAATTCTTCCCTTTTAAGTACCTATCTAATTTCCTTTTAAAACCTATTACCGAATCTGCTTCCACCACTCTTTCAGGCAATGCATTCCAGACCATAACAACTCTCTGGGTAAAAACTCACTTTCCTGCCTCCATAGATGCTGAATATTTCAGACTAGCTGTACCCATTGCAGCTACGCTTGCAACCAAGGATCCAATATGGAGTGTGTTATTTTAATTTATATTACATTATTAAACTTTATATTATTATACTTTATATAACGATAGGAGATCCCCCCAAAAAATAAAGAGGTCGACAATTTCTAAATGCCTTTTTTAAGTTACAAAACTACTTAAAATAATATAGAATTTTTTTTATTGTATGTTATAATATAAATATGATATAGCATAATATTGGGCTCCTTTTTGGGTTAGTGTTGGGCTACAAATGTACTTGAATCTATTTTAATTTAAGGCACAAAAAAAATCTTCCATTTGGGAGGACTCCATTTGACTTTGGAGCTCCAAATGGATTGTCCCAGTGCTTTGGGACGTCCTCCCGACATGAAAGGCGCTCTATAAATGTAATTTTGTTGTTGTTGTTGACTCCTGTTTGGAGGACTCAGTGGGAGAACTCCTATAGGAGGACTCAGTGGGAGAACTCCTATAGGAGGACTCCTGGTTCGGATAACTTCTGTGGGAGGACTCCTTGTTAAGAACACTTCTCTGGAAGGACTCCTGATGGAAGGACTCCTGTGTGATGAGCTTGTTTAGGTCATAGCTATGTGTCGCTACTCTGTTGCAGAATATTTAATATGGATGCATCTCTCTAGAAGAGTGTGTGATTTCCTCTGTCGGTACTTCGTTGCAGAATACCATGCATACTTCATATTTTGGGGCTTAATTAAAGCATTTTTTAAATATAGCTCATCAATGATAGGAGGTCCTAGAAAAAAATAAGCCCATGACATTGCCCCATACAAGACCTGTCCGATGAAGTATAAATCAGGTCTCTAAGTCAATGGGTTCTTGGCGGGCAGATACACACACAGACACACAGACATTTCATCTTTATTAGTATAGATTTCCAGCAACTGCAGTATTTGAAGCCAATTATAACACTGCCATCTGCAGGTTGAACTCAGATAACTTGGCAGAGATCAGGAATCAAACCCAGGACCTTCCTCACTCAGTTTCACTCAAGTGGGGAACTTTTTATGCTCTGTTGCCTCCTCTCCTTATTCAGGTATACCTTTCTCTTGTATCTCGCATTGGGTTTTGAACTTAGAACCAACCCCGACTCAGGCCCTACATAAAGATACAAACTAAAACTGATGGATAAAACTAGAACCCTTCTGTGCTGTAATATTCTATAATTCTATGAACTACCCTTGATCACTCCAACATTACAAACTTCAAACCCATCTCAAACCTGCCCTTCCTGGCCAAAGTTTTGGAACACGTTGTTGCAAATCAACTTTGTTCACAACTCTCCCTCCACTCCCTATTCAAACCCCGCCAGTCCGGTTTTCGCCCAATCCACAGCACAGAGTCAGCGCTAGTCAAAGTATCAAATGATGTCCTCTCTCTCTGAGACCAGGGCTCCCTTTGCTTCCTGGTTCTCCTGGACCTCTCTGCTGCGTTCAACACAGTCGATCATGCCATCTTCCTCCACTGCCTCTCCTCCCTCATCCACTTTAGCAGGACTGGACTTTGATGGTGCGAGTCCTACTTAACAAACCGCCAACAATATATTTCATACATACATGCTTCCTCTCGGCGATGTCATCCGCAGAAATGGGATCAACTTCCACATGTATGCGGATGACACCCAAATCTACTTCTCCTCTAGCTGCGACTCCCAGTCCACTGATGTCCTGTCAGCTTGTGTGATGGACATCAAGGCCTGGATGAGCAAATTTCTTGCAGCTGAATGTTGGCAAGATGGAAGCCATACTCTTTGGCTCCCGGCAATGACTTCTCGCCTTCATGTGTGAATTCTTCAATTTCCCCGGGCTCTCACTCAGACTCACTGAACCCAGGCGTAACTTAGGCATAGGTTCAATCCCTAGCTTACCTTTCTACCACACATCTGTTCCCTGACCAGGATCACTTTTTTCCACTTCAGCCACACTGCCTGCCTCTGCCTGTACCTCATAACCAACTCAGCCAAAACCCTCGTCCATGCCTTTGTCACTTCCCAGCTGGACTATTCCAATGCCTTCCTCTCTGGTCTCCCCAGCTCTACTATACACAAAATTCAACTAATTAAAAACTCTGGCGCCTGGATACTCACCCACACAAAACTCTGTACCCCCATTGCACAAGCTCTTAACCGGCTCTACTGGCTCCCAATTACCGAACAGATCAATTTCAAGATCTTCACTCATTTTCAAATTCCTTCAGGCCCTTGCACCTCCCTACCCATCTGATCTGCTTAATCCCCACTCCACCCCTCCACTCGGGTGGCTCTGGCCGCCTGTTTGTCCCTCGTACCCTCGGCTCCACCATCGGTGTCCGTGCCTTCAGCCACTATGCCTCAAAATTCTGGAACACTCTCCCTCAATTCCTCCGCCTTGCCCTCTCACTCCCCACTTTCAAATCCCACCTAAAGATCTTCCTTTATGATAGTGCTAACTGTCACCTCCCCATGGCTTGTTGTCAGATTCCGCCACTGTCAAGCGCTCCAGGACTCTACCCCACGTAAAGGGCGCTATATAAATGTAAGTTGTTGATATACTGTAAAGTGTACTGACTGTGTATTTTGAGGGTGAAATGAGGCAGCCAATTGCAATGCCCCACCAACAGCCATGGAGTACTGTTGGCCAGGATACTGGGAGAGAAAAACTTCCTTCTGTTTTTGAATAGTGCCAGGGAATCTTTAAATTGCAACTCAATGCAGACGAGACCTCGGTTTAATCTGTCATCTGAAGGACGGCACCTGTGGTTGGCACTCGCCATTCACATACTCACATTGACAGAGCTTCTGTACCTCACGCAGCTTCAGAGCAGTCCTATACACTGCATGTTGGACCTGATTGAGAGCCTCTGGAGCAAAAAAGGGAAGGGTAATGTTCAGTGAACTAGATAGAGTAAAACACTGACCCTCATCTAAAGAGGAGCACTCTTCTGAATTGCCCCATTAATCTTATATGTTATCAAGCCTTCCCATTGGACACCATCACTTATTACACCCCCCCGGGTACAAGGAGTAGAAAGTCACTTGACCTTTATTTTGGACATCCTACTCATATCGATTATATGGGTATCACCTTGGCTGACACAGTACTCTCAAAATGCAGTTGGATGATTGGCATCATTTGGCATTCTGCCCATCAGAGGGCTGAAATGTGAATGGGCATTCAGATGTGGTTAACATATCATCTGACAATCGCTTTGAATGCCACATTTCATTTGGTGCCCTCACCAACTACTGAAGACAATGATCCATTACACACTGCAACTTTAAAAGAGAGTTTGTTCTTCCCCTTTTACCCCCTCCCCTCCTGAAGAAGTTGACCCTTGTTTGAGTATAGTTCTTATAGGCACTGTGTACCTTGCCAGAATTATCCTTCATGTTAGGTTAAATGGAAGGAGGTGTGCAGCGGTGTCCCCCAGGGATCGGTATTGGGACCACTGCTCTTTCTAATATATATTAATGATCTGGAGTTGGGCATAGAGAGCACTATTTCCAAGTTTGCAGATGATACAAAGTTAGGTAGGGTAGTAAATAGCGAGGAGGACTGTAACCAACTGCAAGCAGACATACACAGAATGGTGGAATGGGCTGACATGTGGCAGATGGATTTCAATGTGGATAAGTGTGAGGTGATACACTTAGGTAGGAAAAATGATAGGAAGCAATATAGACTTGGTAGCTCAATCTTAAGGGGGGTGAACGTACAGAGAGATCTGGGTGTTCAAGTAAGCGAATCATTAAAGGTAGCGGGTCAGGTAGATAAGGCAGTAAAAAAGGCATTTGGTGTACTGAGCTTTATTAGTTGGGGCATAGAGTATAAGAGTAAGGAGGTTATGGTTAATCTATACAAAACACTGGTTAGGCCTCAGCTGGAGTACTGCGTCCAGTTCTGGGCACCTTACTTCAGGAAGGACATTAAGGCACTGGAAAGGGTGCAGAGGAGATTCACGAGAATGATACCAGGAATGGGGAACCTTATGAGGACAGGCTGGAGAAGTTAGGACTTTTCCCATTAGAGTAGAGAAGGTTACGCGGGGACCTGATAGAGGTCTTCAAGATCATGAAAGGTTTCGACAGACTAGATAAGGAAAAGATGTTTCCGCTGGTAGGTGTGTCTGTGACCCGTGGTCAGTCTTAAGATATCTACCAAAAGAAGCAGAGGGGAGGTTAGAAGAAATTTTTTCACTCAGTGAGTTGTTTGAATTTGGAATGATCTGCCCTAAAGGGTAGTGAAGTCCAATTCGATAACAGCTTTTAAGAGAGAACTGGATAGGTATCTGGGGAAGACGGGTTTGCAGGGTTATGGGGAGAAAGCTGGTGACTGGGGTTAGTGAAAGTGACTTGCTCTGTCAAAGAGCCGGCACAGACTCGATGGGCCGAATGGCCTCCTTCTGTGCCGTAACATTCTATGAATCTATGAAATGTATCTATGAAATGTCTGTGGGGAATCATAGCCGACCTATTTCTGTTCTCATCCACACACATATGCTGTCCCTTATTGAAGCTGGGCTTATTGAACACTTAAAAGTTGTAAGGAGTAACAGAAACGTGCATTGGACTGAATCATATAAGATCCTGCCATAAGTAAATGAATTCCACAAGTGCAGAGTCAAAAGGTGAACTAAAAAATGTACAGATACATTGAAAACAAGCAAAAGCCCAAGTCCTAGCCGCACACCCTGAGGCACACCACAGTCACTGATGGAGTCCTACCCATTTTTTCTGGATCAAACTGTGACGGGTGCTCCCAATGTGTCCAAGGATTGATGGTACTGTGGAAGCAACAGGTGGAGATATAACTGATTTGAATACAACTGTGGATATTTTTAAAAGCTTCAATCTTGCAGACACTGGAAGAAATCCATCTCTGGTGCTCAGAATCAGTACAGAAAGAACTTGGACTTTAACAGCACCTTATTATGTTGAAACTTCTCAAAGCACTTTACATTAATTGTTGTGTTAAGTGTATTATAGGGAAATGTACTATCTAAAGCATTGGAAACAGTTGGGTCTAGAACATATAATGAAAGGTAGATACAAGTATTGATAACACAAATAGATAGAAATAGATTCACTTACTTAACATAAAAAGGTATTTCATTTTTATTGATAGCTCTCATTCGTACTCCATTTCTTTGTCCTAATAGAGACCATACATGTAACATTACTGAACACAAATTCATTCAATGCATGTCTTAAATATGATGCCTACAAACTCATCATTATACAACAACAACAAGATTACATTTGTATAGCGCCTTTCACGTCGGGAGGACGTCCCAAGGCGCTGGACAGAGTACAGCATTTCAGACCCGAACTGGGGTTGGTAGGGGTAAGGGAGGGGAGGGGAAGGGGGGTGGCCGATACCATCCTATCACCAGAGCTAATAGGGCTTGATGCCAATATTGCAGTCAGGAGCTGTATGGAATCAATGGTTCTGTGTCGGGCAGAGATAATAGGTGGGGGGAGAGTTACTATATTGATGAGCACAGCGATGACAATATGACCCGAATATCCCAGCAAAACAAAGGCATAAACCCCTTTGTCGAGTCGAGTCACAGTAGTTGTTCGCTACTAAGTTATCTTGTTTTAAAGGAACCTCATTCAACCACGAAACTGTGAAACGCTTTGGGACCTCATCCTTAAGTGTATCAAGTGAAAGGATTATTATTATATTAAGAAAAAAACACCTTTAAACAAATGTCAAATTGTAATTTCACTCGCGTGTCATTTTATTGTACGGTGTCACATTTCTTTTTTTGTTTTGTTTTGAAAAAAATGAACAGAACAGGGCTATATTGATTACAAAAAAATGTTCTATTTGTGAGACTCATGGCAACAATTGTGTCTGAATAAAAGAGTGGACTTACCAAACATTAGCCCTGCGTTTCTCTGTGGTCTTTTCTGCATATCTTCTTTTGAAGATCAATTAAAATTTACTTTTTAATTCGTCTGTTTCTAAGCGCTGGGCAGAAACCCCCACTCCCAGAGGCCCACTTCGGTCAAGTCCTTTTTAAAGTGGATCCTGTTGCTTGGATGAGACAGAAAACTCGCCCTCAATAATTCAACTCGTAACCCGAGCTGGCTGGGAAACAAACAGGCGGGGTTTAGAAGTTGCGATTCGAATTTTCCCTTTATGGAATAAAACTGGATAACGTCATAAGTGGGTTAAAAGTAGTCAACTGTGGATGGGAAAGTGGCCATGTTATTCCCCGGTTGCCACGGAAACACGCAAATGAGGTGCGCACTCCAGGGAGCAATTAACGCAGAGTCTGGAGCTCTGAGCAGACTCTCAATGTTATTATTTTAAAGGCAAAATTGTCAAGATAAATATATTCCACCCCCACCCCCCCACCCCTGAAAAAATATTAAAGATGTTGTAGGAATTGCACAGTTGCTTTGGGGGTTCTAATTTCTTCTGGAGGATTGTTGGCCAGGACACCGGGAAAAACTCTCTTCTCTTTTCGAAAAGGGTCATCATGGGATTCCTTAATGTCCACCTAAACAGACGCTGGGACCTTGGTTTAACATCTCATCTGAAGGATGGCACCTGCAATAATTATAGCACTGCCCCCAGCACTCCATTGGAGTATTAGCTTGATAATGGGCTTGAACCCACATTCTGATTAAGAGACAAGAGTGCTTCAGACTGAGCCGGAATGACCTCCATTACTTTAATGTTTGTGTATGTCTTGCACACAGATCTTATCACTTTATATTGACTGTCATTTTACACAGTATTTCCTGAATTGCATTAATGATCTTTTTGTGGCCATTTCTCACATTTCTGGCTAAAGCTGCTGTGTTTGTTCTGCGCTGGTGATAACTCGGCCATCAGAGATATGTAACACTCATTTTTGCAGTACAAACTTTTTATTATAACCAAGAACCAAATATACTGATCATGCGCACAAATCAATAACCTAACTTGATTGAAAATCTGGATTGAAGGTTTTCTCAATACCAAGACTCTTATTGAAAGTATGAGTATTGCCCTCACTGATAGAATACTTTCTGAAAATTCCTTTGAAAATAATTATCATTAAGGGTTAAGATCCTTTTGATTGTTTGGTTTCTGTTGGCTATTTTTCCAAAATTTTTCTTGCCACAACAATGTCGATGAAAAAATCTTCACCGGATATGTCAACAATCTTAATTCAACCCTGGCACAATCTTGAGGTCAGAGGAGCTGCTCCAAGCTACTACTCAGATGATGTTTTCCAAATTTCAATTGTTAAAAAGTCCCCCCCACACCCAAAATATCTGTTTGGAATAGAAAGGAAGAAAACATCAAACAAGAGGATGCTTAAAATGTCTCTGGAACCATGTGATTTTTTTCAAAAGAGATCTGATAGCAAGACTCATTTATTAAAAAGAATGTTCAGCGATTGGCAATAGAGGGAATAAACTTCTTTGCAGTTTATGTTACACAACAATTTGAGGAGTTGAAGATCAATAAGCAAGATTCATTCCTGCAATGAAAAACAAAGCACATGAACAGTGGACAGTGGTTGAAACAGTCAAATTTAATCCTGATCCAAGGATATTGGTGAGTTTGAAGTATTTCATTCTAATCTATTCCAACAAGTCCCAGTCATTCTCCCCTTCCATATGGTATATGCTATTCCAATTGGGATTTGTGTGTGTGTGGTGGAGGTGTTGGGGGAGCTTTTTAATAATGGGAATGCTGAAAACATCATCTGAGTAAACCAGAACTATGCAGTATTCAAATAGACAGGATTCAGTGCCCAATGTAGTGAAACCCCATGCAGTGGCAACTTTATACAACTTTAGAGCTCATTTTCCTCTGCTGTGAAGTTTCTTTTCCAGTATGTTACATTGGAAAAGGTGCACATTCAGTTTGCAATTATTTATAAGCGCATCCATTAATACTGCATTTGTCTTTTGGCACAGTTGAATGCACTTAAAGAGATAGTGTTATACATTTGAAGGTCAGAGTGGTTTGTTGACCTTTGGACCTGGAAGTGGTGGTGGTGGTGGGTGGAGGCAGAAGTATTTAGGATCCACCTTTCTTTGCCTTGAAGTGAACTTGTGTTGGGGTTGTGTTCTTTTAGATCCCAAGTCAAAAGATGGGAGTGATCATGATCCATCTTCCCTTTCATCTCTTACATGTCTCACTATGTAGGGGTATACTATGCAGTTCATGAGGGAAAAGTGATTAGAAGGAAAATGATTTTCCTAACTGCATATATTATATGATATGAAGGGGTAATGGGGATAAGGCAGGGCAGTGGGATTGAATGAATACATTGCTCTAAGAGCTGGTCCAGATTAAATGGGACAAATGGCCTCCGTCTGCGCTTTAAATTTCTATGATTCTATGGTGTGTGACCCAACTGCATAACAATAATATCTACATCTCTGGTTACTATTATTGCTTATCATCAACCGGAACCGATTCATCTTCCAAAGGAGGTTGTTCCTCTTCTGTGACGATGGGAACGGATTCCTCATTTTCTGATGGAGCTTCCTCCTCCTCGGGAACTATGGGAAACGATTCCTCAATTTCTGATAGAGGCTGTTCCTCTTCTGTGACTAAGGGAATGGATTCCTCAGTTTCCAATGGTAGCTCTTGATCTACTAAAAGTGTCGATTCCTTGTCTTCCAGTAGAAGTTCTTGATCCAATGTATCTACTGGAACCGATTCCTCATTTTCCAATTGCAAGTATTCGGGAAATGATTTGCTTTCTACTGGAGGTGGCGATGGGGGAATGTAGATTAACTTCTTCTCCTGTTGCAGGGATTCAAAAATGAAAAACACAAACAAAATTAGAAATACAAAAGAAAAAGTTAAATTGACCTGACAAATACCAGAACAGGCTTGCCTGTACAACACACGGAGGATGACAGCAGCAAAGGTCCCAATGCAGGAGACAATACAATTGACCCTTTAAAATAGTAACCAGAGCTTTTGGAACACAAATACCAATACTAATATAATAATCCTTGTATTTTGTACAGCACCTTTCATGTTGGGAGGACATTCCAAAGTACTTTACAGGATATACTGTAAAGTGGATTGACTGTGTATTTTGTGGGCGAGACAACGCAGCTAGTTTACACACTGCAATGTCCCCCAAAAAGCCATGGAGTGAATGCCCCAATTTATTTTGGTGGATTGTTGGCCAGGACACACTCCCTTCTCTTTTCGAATAATGCCATGGGATCTTCAACGTCCACCTGAACAGGCAGACTTGGTTATAGCTTTGGTTTCCGTTTCTCCCTCAGCTGAGTGGCCCCAACAACCCTCCCAGATTCAGAATCTCAGATTAGCGTTCTAAGGTCTGTACTCGACATAGTAAAACTTCTTGGTAGTGTTCACAAGCTCGATGCTCCTTCATCAGACATCAATTTGCTTTGCTGATGTGCACAAGAAGCCAATCTATTGACTTTGACTGCTAGTCCATCTTACCGTCCACTGGTTATTCAATGCAAGAAGCCAAAGTTAGCTGAGTGGAGTAGGTGAGCAGGAGTAGGGTAGAAGCTCAGAGAGGTAAGAAGTGCCGGGGAGTGCATATTTTATAGATGACCCTTATGATGTTGAAACATCTCAAAGAGTTTTTCTCTATAATTGAAGTGACTACATGCAGCAAACAGAAACAACTGTGCTGAAGAGTCCTCCAGCTAAAAGGAGTAAGAACAGATTTAAAATAAAAATCTACTGACAAGAATTTACCAATATCAGCTCTGAGGCAATCTTATTCAGCTTCTCCTTGGCCTCCTCGTTAATCTTAATCTGGGTCTGAACCACCCAATTACCACTGCAGAATCGGACTGGCATGGAGAAAATCACGTCTGGTGGAATACCAAACTGACCTGCCATAGAATCCAGAGGCAAAAGTCACAATGGGCTCTTCTCACTAAATGACACTTCACTAAGTGTTAGCCTGCCTCAATTTGCAGCACTAAACATATAAAAGGTAGTTAATTTTCCAAAGGGAGTAAGACAGTCAGGTCCCTTGGGTTATACGCACCAGTATTACCACTGCGGGAAGCAAGAGGACTGGTTGCACCGTGCACAGTGAAGGGGGGTCACACTGCAACCATGTTAGAAGCATGTTAAACATGTGCTATGACTAAATCTGAACTAACCCTCTGTCTTTCCTCCTGCGATCTGAATGTCAAAATAAAATCAAGCGCATAATCTGAAAGCCATTTAAATACCCACTCCATTTATTTTGTGCTGCGAACAGCTATGTCCTGGGGAATGGGAGAGTGGGGTTTGGAGACAGATTCAAATAAAAAGTAATACATGATCTGAGCATGATCTGCCTTTTGTCCAATTTACTGAAACATCAGCTACTGACGTTGACATAAATTGCTCACCTTCACTGATCACCCCCAGCGACAAAATTTCCCCTGGCGGAGAGTCATGGTACCAAGAATGTAACACACTGACTAGCTGACAAGCAGTAGAAATACCAAGGGGATGTTTATATCGTCTTTCAATTAATGATTTGCGTTCATACACCATTGGCAGGAATTCCTTCTCGATCCACTGACTGTCAGCAAAGAGAGGGAGAGGAAATAAACCAGATGATGCACTGTACTAGGTCCAAAGATGTATTATCTGTTAGTCTGTTTTGGTTCTTGTGATGTGATAGTCTCCTCGCCAACAAAGAGGCTGTTTGGACATTACACAAGCGGTGAAGTAACAACCGAGTTACAGCCCATTTAATAGCTGGAGAGATTCATCCTGTCATAAGGTTGGTTATTACATTTTCTACTTACAAATCTTACTAGTACAAACCTAGTATTTACTTTTAACTAAAAGGAAAGAAATTTCAATGGGTATTTTTCAGTTCAAAATAATCAAATGAAACTGCTCTCTGATCTCCTTGTGTACTTGCAAAGTCAACAGAAGAAGAAATCGCAAGAGGAGTTACAGGTCAAGATTTGTCCTTTGGCTGAGTTGATCTCATCCCTCTGGAATATCCACTCTTCCGCTGTCCCGTTACAGAGGTATGCCACTCTGCCCCTACTCTCTGGAACTCCATCCTGCAGTCCCGCTGCCTCGCCCCCTCCCTTGCCACCTTCAAGACCCATCTCAAGACCATCCTGTTTGATCTCCCTGCTTCTGTCCATGCCCTCCACCCTCCCCGACCCCCAGCTCGGGTCCAAAACTCTGGCTGTCCAGCACTTTGGGACATTCTCCCAACGTGAAAGGTGCTATACAAATATATTTTTGTTGTTGTAATCCAAAATGGTCAAGCTGACTTGCAGGAATGCCACTTTGATGTGAACTAATTCCAATTATGGGAGTTTATCAGCTGCTTCCCTTGACCACCCCTCTCTTCCCCCTCCCCCTTCTCTCCACTCTCTCTCCACCCTCCCCTCCCCACTCTCTCCACCCTCCTCTCTCTCTTCACCCATCCTCCCCTCTCTTCCCCCACCCTCCCCTCTCTCTTCCCCCACCCTCCCACTCTCTCTCCCCCCTTCCCTCTCTCTCTCCCCTCCTTCCACCCTCCCTCCCCCTCTGCTCCTCCCTCCCCCCACTACCCTCCTCCACCACCTCTCCCCTCCTCCCGCCCCCCCTCCCCTCATTAGGCTTGAGGATAAGCCAAACAGTTAACCTGGAACATCGCTAAACAGCTAGTTACATAATGGGACTGGCAGGAGCCCAGAAAGAAAGCAGATAATTCCCTTCTCAAATCAGGAAGACAAAATATAGGGAAAAGCACAAGATTTTGCAGAAAAGTGTAACTAAAATAACATAATGATATTTCTTTTAAAACATGAAATATTACACTTTTTCCCAGATTGGCTGCAGCTTATCGTGCAAGCCAACTGATATCCACCAAGCTCTGTCTGAACCATACCGATCATGCAGCACCTCCAGAACAGGACGCGAGTAGGTAGGTGGTCCCCAAGTAGCACTCTCGAATCGATGGACACGTGCCCTATTCAAATCAATGAAGATAGTTCTACTTATATTTCCCCAAACGGTTATATTGGAAATATCTGCAAAGAGAAATTAGAGAAAAAAAATAAAAGGTTTAGCAGCTTTTGCCATCAATAAACAAACCTGATAAGTTCATTATGTTACAGCAACGTAATAGTTCTGTTAATTTAAATTCCTCCACTGAAGAAGGAGCAAGCAAGGAGGGAAAGTGGGTGGGGGGGGGGATGGTGGTTAAGGAAAAGGTAACCAAAATAAGAATAATTCTTGCATTTGAAATAGCGCCTTATCACTTTGTCAAGACTTCCCAAAGTGCTTCCAGGATATACTGTAAAGAGGATTGACTCTGTATTTTGTGGGCAAATGCATGGTCAAAGAGATAGTTTTGTTCACAAGAATTCTGAAGGGAAGGAAAGAGGGAGCCAGGAGAAGGATTTTGAGAGGTTGTTCCCGACAGCAGAGAATTACTAACTATCTACCTCCTTAGCCTTCAAACACTCAATACTAATGTGTTAAACAGACAGATAGAAACTGAGGAAAAATAGGTAGTGATTGAGAGAAATACACACCTAATGGAGTCACATCCAGTTTCCTGGCCAATAGTGACCTGGCTTCTCCCTCGAGCCGAGATGCGACTGCAACAAAATTGTAACGTGGGACAGATGGTGCATTCTGCATGATGAAGTAGGTTTTCAGATTCACAATGCTGTTACCAGCCACAAGCACTCGCACACTGGGCTTTGCAGACCTTTCGATCAGACGGCCGTAATATTTGCAGCGTTCAGCCAGCTCTTCGTGGCGCTCTTCGATGGGCTGTCTGCTGTCGTTATCAATGTCATCGAGAATGATGATGAGTTGTGCATTGACAAAAGCTCCTTTGAGGTTGTAATGCATTGTAATTTTACGGACCAGGGGCCAGGCCATATCAAATATCTCCAAACAAAAGCCGTGCAATATATTCCCTGAGTCACTGATATCCAACAGATTTATACTGATCTCAGTATACTCACCAAGAAGATTCCCACTTACTAAGGTAGGTATCACATTCATGACAGTAGGATTTAATGCTCTAAAAGGAGACCAAGAACACCATGTAAATGAACTGTGACAAAATGAATTCCAATTTGATGCTGGTGGCTGGTACCATAGATGTGACCAGAGAAGTAGGTTTTAAATTGGGATTTGAAGACAGATGAAGAGGGGGTGAGGCGAAGGGATAGAGGCAGAGTTCCTGAGTTTAGGGGCATAATGACTGAAGACTTGGCCTTCAATTGTGGCACCATAGGGGAGGGGGCAGAGGAGTTGCGTATGAGGAGATCAGAGAGATAGGGAGGTGCTAGGTATTTGTGAGTCAGTGAAACAGTAATGATGATGAGAAACCAATGTATCAGAGAAGACAATAGTGTAATAGTGGAAATTACTTCTAGTCAAATAGTAGATTATGAAGAAAGATATCCCACGCTTACCCTGTAATCCAAATTTCATATGGCTTAATCAGAAGCTTGTTATATGCCTCTTCTTCCATCAACTCTTGTTTAGTCTTTAGGTTCTCCTCTGCAATGTTTAACATGCGCTGAGTATTCATATCTGCAGTCAGCCCATAATAACCCTGAAGGTAAAACAACCAGTTTGGGTTAAATAAACAAACAAGCAAATAATTAATCCTTGCATTTAATGTGGCACCTTTCACAACAGGAAAACTCTTCAAAGTGTTTCATAGGATATACTGAAAAGTGTAGTAACTGTAAAGTGTATGTTGTAGGTGAACGCAACAAACGATTTGCACATATCAATGTCCCACAAACAGCCATAAGCGAGCGACCAATTTTATCTGGGGAATTGTTGGCCAGGACACCAGGAAAAACTCACTTCTCTTTTCGAATAGTGCCATGGGATATTTAACGTTCACCTGAACAGGCTGACAGGCTTGGTTTAACATCTAATCCAAAGTACGCACCTCCAACATTGCAGGGCACCCCCAGAGTAATGCAACAGGTGACTTTTGCTTTTATAAGTGGGACTGGCCAACAGATACCCATTTGTTAAAGTTCACTGACATCCTAATTGACTCATTCACTTTGTGGCTGTGTGTGGAATGTTGCTGTATATTAACAGGCTCCCAGGCTTGTCAACAAATCTGTGAAGTACTTTGTGATATTTCAACATTATAGGTGCTATATCAAATGCAACAATTCTTAACATTATTTATAATAAGATTTGAACCAAATAAAAATGGTTATTCAATTCATGGTTGTTTTGTGGGACATTGCTGTGTGTAATTTGGCTGCTATATTCACTGCTAAAATACACAGTCGCACTGCTTACAATACAGTATGCCCTATCAAGCGCTTTGAGGCATCTTCCCAACATGAAAGGCGCTAATTCAAATGCAAGGATTATAATTATTATTTATTTAACAGAAACAATCTGTTAATAAATCGCTAAATACAGGCATCTTTTGGAACAGGCTTCCTCTGCTTTAAGGTTCACATTGTAGGTTCACAAATCAAATCAGAATCAAGGATAAGACTGGATCCTTTGTCAATAATTTTTCAAGTCTCCTCTAAAGTTGCAATTTCTAAATTGGGGAACTGTCATCAGGTAGACAAAGAGTATTAAATAAATTTTGCAATGTATTTCCAATTTGGAGATGGGCCCCCATGTTAAGGGTATAATTGTTGTAAGCCCTACCCTATATTTCACCCACAAAATATACAGTCAATTCACTTTACAGTATGTTCTGTGAGGCACTTTGAGACATCTCAACGATGTGATAAAGCACAATATCAAATGCAAGAATTGATATATTTATATTATTATTATTACCTGGGCATAATCCAGAAAATCATTAAATCCACCCAGCAGTATTCCCTTTCCTCCACGGTTCACCAACTCTCGCCACACAATAGGGGACGTCTTGTGCTTCCAGCCATTCGTCAAACATATATTCTGAAGCCATTGCTGTTGAAACACAAATGTGTGCACAGTACTTTGTTGCAAAAGTCAAATAAAGTCAATTGTTGCCAGGGCCTTGGTTGTACAGAACATAGTGCTGAACATTGAGCTTCTAGTGCTTCATACATTCCCCATTCTCTATCAAAGGCCTCAGCACTGCATTCTTTGTCAATCCATAACACAGTTTAACTTCAAGAGCTCCTTTATTTCAACCATACCCTTCAACACTCTACCTAGTCCCTTTTCCAGAATCCTTTTATGCTTCCTGCTTGCTTCTCATTGGGAGGACAATGGCTATGCGGAGAGAGCAGGGGATTGAATTGGATAGCTCTTTTCAAAGAGCTGGCACAGTCACGACAGGCCAAATGGCCTCCTTCTGTGCTGAATGATTTTCTGATTCTATGATTCATTGGTCAATGTCCAATTGCCAATTTAGCCTTTAAGCAATATGCAACAAGCATCAAGCAGTCATTCTCCAATCAGGTCACAAGATCATGGGCACTTCAGACCATTTGATTTCATACTTCAGGATATCCATCAAACCATCCTCCCATCTCAGTAATTTCATATTTTTTAATACCCTTTCTTCCCAAGTATCTATCTGTCTCCCTTTTAAACATCATAATTGCAGCAAGTATTTTCTCCACGTTGATTTCCTAGTATCTGAAGAGACTTCTTATTTAAAATCTTTGACCAAGCCTCCACACTACTCAGCTTGTTGTGCCTCTGTGTATCCTGTCTTACAATAACTGAACCAATAACTATCCTTCAACAAAGCACAAATATGGGTCTGTATGTAAGCTGATCTACTCCTTTCTTAAGTTGTAGTATGCTCTCAAAACTGAACTGACCTCCCAGTCTTGAGGGAGTTGCATAATTTTATGGATTTTGAAGTCCGGCAAGTTTTTTGCAAGATAATCTGCCACAAATTCTGCTTTGGCGAAATAAGGGCAGTCTGCGGAACCTGCAAACATCAGAGCAAAAACAAAATGTATGTTATTATTTATATTTCTTTCCTTTCATTGCCTGTATCAACATGGTTGAAGCAAACAACATTGGCATATTTAAGAGAAAGCTTAATATATATATGAGGGAGAAGGGAATAGAGAGGTTATAGGTGAAGGGAATAGGTGAGGTGGAGTATAAAGAGCGTTGTGAGAATGTGAAATTTATTTCCGAAAACTGTGGTTGTAGCAGAAAGTATCAATGTACCTAAGAGAGGGAAAAGGAAAGTATCAATAGGAAGTGATGGGTGCTCGTGTGGAGTACACAGACAACTAGAATGTGCAATCCTATAGCTCAGTGGTTAGAGCACTCGCCTCGCAAGCAAGAGACCTGGGTTTGATTCCCGGCAAAAACATTGGGCAAGTTTTCTTACTTTCACACATCTCTGTTTACTTAGCAGTAAGTAGGAACCCGGTTTTTAGTCAATTAGCGGGTCATTTTTCCAGGGATAATAATTCCTTCGAAGGGAAAAAAATAATTTGGTCACGCAATCCACTGTTTGTGGGATACTTCAGTGCACAATTGGCTGCCGTGTTTCACCCACAAAATATACAGTCAATTCACTTTACAGTATATTCTGTGAAGCGCTTTGAGACGTCTCGAAGACGTGATAAGGCACCATATTAAATGCAAGGATTATTATTACATTCCAGGTAAACAAAGTCAAGGCCCCAGTGTTGTTCTCCCTCAGTCCCTGTAGCGTTCTACATTAATAATAATAATAATAATAATAATAATCCTTGCATTTGATATAGCGCTTTTCACGTCGGGAGGACGTCCCAAAGCGCTTCACAGAACACACTGTAAAGTCAATTGACTGTATATTTGTGGGTGAACGCGGCAGCCAATTGCGCACAGCAATGTCCCACAAACAGTCGTAGATTGAAAATGACCAATTTAATTATTGTTTTTAGTTTTGGAGGGATTATTATTAGGCTCTGTGTGTGTGGAGTAAGGAAACTTGCCCAAGGTTTCGCCCTCTGCCTGGAATTGAACTCAGGTCTCTCACTTGCAAAGCGAGTGCTCTAACCACTGAGCTACAGGACTCCACATTAACCCTTTCCTCACACCATTTTCCGGCAGGGACGCCATGGGCTTAATGGGCTTTTGTGCCATAACTCTCTATGGTTCTATGTTCAATGCAGGCTGCCACTCTTGTTCATGTACAAATAAACACAGAGCCGCTGTCACAAGCAATGGGTAACTGTAATGCAAGGCTTGGCTCCGTAACAGCCAGCGTTGCCTGATTCTTGAAGTGAAGAAGGCGCACGTACACCCCCTTCTATCTCCTCATTACAATTATTACTTACTTATAACAATATAATTATAATAATTACAATAAGCAATTATCCTTCTCCACTCAGGGCACCGAGACCCTTATTCACGCATTCATCACGTCCAGGCTCGAATACGCTAACTCCCTGCTGCTGAAACTTCCCAACTCTTCCCCCCCACAAATTGCAGATTATTTGGAACTCCGCAGCTCGTGTCCTCTCCTGCACTGAATTCGATGAACCGGTCACCCCCTCCCTCGCCCGCGCCGGCTGCACTGGATCACATGCCTCAGATCCAGTTCAAGCTCCTCAGGATCAGGCACTCCAGCCCTCTTAATGCCAACCCCCAGCTCGGGCGCACGCCCTTCACTGTCCAGCGCCTTGGGACCAACCATCCTTCTGATGTGAAAGCCGCTTTCTAAAGGCAATTTTGTTGTGATTGTCGTCGCTGTCGTTGTTGTTGCCGTTACTGTAACATTACAAGGCAGCAGTGGGGTTGGGAAGATTACATAAAAAGTTAACCTTCCCCATTTCGGGCGGGTTTTCCGGGCAGTTAATTGTGTCTGAGCGTTTGATACTCCTCTCCCCCGCTCGGTGCCCGCTGTTTGCTCGGCGGCTGTGTGCGAAGGCTGCAGCACCGAGGTCAACCCACCTGCCAACACGAACTTGGCCATCTTGGTTACCCGTCGCTAGGCAACGGCTGCGCCCGGACCCACAATGCCGGTGCACCAACAGCAACCGCGGGGTCCGCGCGCCTATTCCTTCCGCCCGCAGTAAACGCTGCCACCTGCTAACAGCCAACGTTGCCCGATCGGGTGGGGTTTCACGCCCAATTGGGCGGGGTGTTGTTGTGCTGCGCGGGTCCCTCATTTTTTATTTTTAAATTTAAAACCAGCAAACGTTCCCCCCCTCCCCCCTCCCCCGGGTTGAATATCTTATCTTACCACAGTTTCAGAAGCACTCATCTCGAATGGGCGCTCTGCCATCCGTTATTAACCACACATAACATTGGGCTACTTTGGGGCTAGTTGTGGCTTGACTTTGGGCTATAAACGTATTTTATTTTCTGGAACTCTTGCTTATAGCTCAGGGAGTAAAGTGGGCTGAGGGTCTCGGGGCCCCATTTCTTTCCACGTTGGTGCGAGATTTCTTTTCACGAGCAGTGAACATGTTTTGTCATCAGGTCTCCGTGGCAACGCCCTCACCTCTGGGTCCGAAGGTTATGGGTTCAAGCCCCACGTCGGGACTTGACCTCACGGTGTCTTAAGATGATACTCCAATCCAGCGCTGGGGGTGTTATCGAAGGCGTCATCCTTCGCATGAGATGTTAACTCGAGGTCCCCCCATTGCCTGTTCAGTTGGACGTGAAAGGTCCAGTGGCACTGTTCGAAATAAGAAGGCGGGAGTTGACCGTAAGGCAGAGGAAGGACTTCAGGTACAATCTGAAGATGGGGATATTATAAATTGAATTGACTTGTATATTTTGTGGGCAAAACGCAGAAGCCAATTGTGCGCAGCAGTGTCCCACAAACAATTGTGGATTTGGTGACCAAATTTTTTATTTTTTATTAGGGATTATTACCCCCAGAAAGCGATCCGCCAACCGACTAACAACCAGGTTCCTATTTACCGTTAGGTAAATAGACGTGTGTGAAGTAAGAAAATAAGGAAGTAAGGAATCGACTTCGATACACTCGCTTGCAAGATGAGCGCGCTACACAATGGGACTAGTCTACTATTTCTGCTGCCACCACCATTGGTAGGAGTCCTAGTTACATAAGCTATTGTGACTAACCGCCCTTGAGCAGGGTGCAGTACAATGTGTGTCACGTTCTCTGCGGTGTTATTGCATGAGGTTGCTGAGAAGACACTTTATTTTGTGGTTCAGCCCCGGGTAACAGACCTTTATCTCAAAACATTGTCAGGAAGTGTTTTCAGTGCTGATAGAAATGGCAGCTTCAGCTACTCTGAAACTGGTTTCAGTGCTTAGTTTCCACTGTGTTTGCAGAAATAATATATTCCTCAAACCTGAATTAATACCCCCCATCACGCATTTCTCCCCCAAACTCCAATCTCCCTCCCTCTGTACCCATCTCTTCCCTGCCATCTCCCCAACACACCCATCTACCCCACCAATCTCTTCCCCCCCGCAACACCCCACCAGCACTGGATTCCAAACACATGAATTCCCAAGTGTAGGTGACATGCATGGAACTCTGAATCTGATTTGGGTACTCTTCACCATGGCTGATTGATTTCTGCATATCCTCTGGTCCCAATTCTTGGGTTACGATACCTGGGATCCTCCTGTCTCCACTATTCAAAGTGTTTTTAAACATCCTTCAACTTTTGTCCAGACTATAAAGTCCAAAATTCACTAACATTTTCTCATAGCGCTGAGAACCAGTCTTTTAGGTTATTCACACATCCTAACCCTTCATAATAATAATTCTTGCATTTGATATTGCATCTGATAATGTCGTCGAGACATCTCAATGAGCTTCACAAAATACACTGTAAATTGGAATGATTGTATTTTGTGGGTGAAATACAGCCAGAATTCTGAAGAGCAATGTCCCACAAACAGCCATGAAAATTATAATCCTTGCATTTGGTATAGTGCCTCTTCAGGCCAGGAGGGCATCTCAAAGGGTTTCGCAGGATATACAGTGAAATGGAGTAACTGTGTTTATAGGTGAAGGCCGCAGCCCAATTGCATTTAGCAATGTCCCACAAACAGCTATGAAGTGAATGACCAATTGTATTTGGGGGATTGTTGGCCAGCACACTGGAAGAAACTCTCTTCAATTTTAAGACATGCCATGGGATCTTTAATATCCACCTGAATAGGCAGATGGGACCTCAGTTTAATGTCTAATCTCACAATTGAGTGCTAGTCTAGACCGAGGTTAAGTCCCAATCTGGGGCTTGAACCCACAACCTTCTGACTCATGGACTACCAACTGAGCCAGACTGACACACAAAGGGTTTTTAAGCACTTTGAGATGTCCTCCCAAAATGAAAACACGATATAAATGTAAATTGTGTTGCATATTGTATTGTACTTTCTGAAGATGATGTGAAAGTCATGTTTATTTTACTTAAACGATGAAAATTTCTAGATATATTATTTTCTCATTTCCTTCCTCTGCACAAGTCATTTCCTCAGTGCCCTCGAGTAGAAATAATCCGAATTGCAGTCTCAACATGGAGATTTTTGAGATGCTGGTCAGAGGGCACAGACGGTAGGGGAACCTCTGTCTGTTTTCTCATCCTTCTCTCTCTGCTTGAAGCAGATAATTTTGCTGAAACGTATCTGGTGGGGGGAGGAAGGGGATATTTCCCCCTTGCAGTCCAGTAGCTCAGTGGTTAGAGCACTCGCCTTACAAGCGACATGGATTCGATTCAGGCAGGGTGAAACCTTAAACAAGTCTCCTTACTCCACACACCTCTGCTTACCTAGCAGTAAGTAGGAACCCGGTTGTTAGTCGATTGGCGGATCGCTTTCCAAGGGTAATAATCCCTTCAGAATAAATAAATAATAATAATTTGGTCACTCAATCCACGATTGTTTGTGGGACACTGCTGTGCGCAATTGGCTGCCGCATGTTGTCCACAAAATATACAGTCACTTCACTTTACAGTATATTCTGCGAAGTGCTTTGAAACGTCTCAAAGATGGGATAAGGCGCTATATCAAATGCAATCAAATCAAATGCAAGTATTATTATTATCCTTGACTGTTCAGCGACTTGGGATGTCCTCCCGACTTGAAAGGTGATTTACAAATGTAATTTTGTATTGTATTGTATCATTGTTACCCAGGATCTTTTTTCTTCAGTCAGTCAAGCCAAACTACAGTACTGAGAGTTCCACCTATGTGTAGAAATTAAAAATTTCCCTTTGTCTGGAATGCAGTGCATTCTCTTTCTTTCTCTCTCCCTCTCTCTCCTTGGAGAGAACGCATGCTGCTCACCTAATCCCGGAATGTATTAGGCGCAGGTTCACAAGAGGCTTGAGGACCCCAGAATGTGCGATGGGGTAAATGATGCTCAGTATGTGGCCACTTGGACAAGGTGCTGGAAAGCATTGGACTCCGCTGAGCCATCTCCCAGCACGAGTCGGTGCTTTTGAGAGAGGGTAAAATTGTCAGGTGTGAGTGGGTGGGGGGGAATTGAAAGAAGATTCAATATCAATGAAACCATGAATCGAAATGAGCGCAGATTGTTCGATGACGTCTTTGCCACTTGTAGAGCACGAGATTAGTGTCAGAGTTCGCTGGAAATGGTTCTTGCCTGAATTGCGGCCAATGCGGCAGGGCAGGTAGGGAGTAGGGGGGAAAAGATGGTTGAGGTGTGCCAGTAAATGGTTGTGAAGGACGAAGTCAGCAGTGAAACCTTTGGTGTACTGGTTAGCGGCCAAATGGAAGGAGGTACCTTGAGCATGATGGTGCAAGGGAAAGACTGAGCAATCACTAACCTTTCAACACCACAGACTAGTACAATAGAGCTTGCTACAATTCTAAATGTGCTGACGATAGCAAAGCCATCAACTTTGATCTCAGGATGTGACATTTGATGCAATTGGAGGTGACGTCAACCCTCGATGTGTAAGGTTGATAACAGACCTCATGTTTTCAACCCCATTGTGCGATTACTCCTTTTGTGAACTTAATTTTAATCCTTATCAAAAAATTAGTCGCTGGGTGGAAACAAAAAACTCGAAGAACTTTGAATTTTCAGTTTCTGCTCATCGACCAAGAGAAATTGCATTGAAAGCTCTGTCGCTCTTCATTGAGTTAAGGAAAGCAAGAGAAACGGTTGTGATGTGTCTGGTGTTCGGGATTCTTCTGTAAAAAGTAAAATAAATTGAATGCATTTTTTAAATTAAGTTTGTATTTGTGTGAAAATCAATATTGATACATTAAAAGCAGCTTGGCTCTGTTGGTACCACTCTTGCCTCTGGGTCAGAAGGTTCCAGCCTAGCATCCGGAGGCTCACTAATGCAGTGCTGGAGGATGACCCATTGTCAAATGAGATGTTAAACCAAGGTAGTCAAACATTGGGTCCAATTCTCTATTTCAGTCCACTCTGGCATGGTGGGTGGGAAAAATGGCCACCAGAAATTGGCTGCCAGAAAATATGGCTACCATCTGGATCCTAGCCAAGGTCTCAAAGTGTGTTTGAGATGCTTTAAGACGTCTCAAAGACGTGATAAGGCACTCTATCACATTCAAGTTTTATTAGTATTATTATAATTATAATTAGCAACCAAATTCGGCCAAATTGACCAGGATCTCCATAATGGTCTTTATCACTGCTGCTTATTGTCAGCACTGTTCAGTCACAACTCAGCCTGGCCATTTCCTTGAGGGAGGCTTCAGCCTATTGATTTCAACACTTGGTTGTTTCATCAATAAGAAGGGACAGAGGAGAAATACCATCTGGCTCTAGATTTACTCTCATACTATCATTATTTTTTATGCAGTATTTCAAAGTGCCCAGAATTTAGCAAATTCTTAAATTACAAGCTTGATTTTCACTTCTTGGTTTCTGTTTGTTTCCTGTACAGGATACTGGCTTCAGAGCTAAGACTGAATTCAACACTTCACCAAAATCTGGGTACGCCAAAATGTTATATAAACAGAGTAAATCTAAACCCAGGTAGTAACCATATATTTGTAGATAGTTGATATTTACTTGTTTCCATTTATACTTGAACTACGTATAGGGAATTGGATAGGTACAGAAAAATTGGCAGGGCTATGGTATAAGAGCAGAGGAGTGGGACTAGTTGGTAGTTCTTTCAAAGAGCTGGCACAGTTGCAATGGGCTGAGTGGCCTCCTTCTGTGCTCCAAGATTTTATGATTCTATGTGAGTTCAAGGTCCTAATAGAGGCTGGTTATTATCATAGTGTTGGTCGTGATTTTATGGACTTCACTGGGGACAAGGATTTTTCCCACTTGGCTCCTGCAAGCCAAAGCCCTCATGGGCAGGGTGAAGCTAGCTGGACAAGCAGTGGGAAGCTTACCAGACAGTGCTTTCATTGCCAAGCTACACAGTTTTAGATGGTTAAACTGAAGAAAGTTCCAGATTTCCACTACCCTTTGTGTGAAAAATGCTCGCTGATTTCACTCCTAAATGTCCTAGTTCAAAGATTATGCCACCTGGTTCTGAATTCCCCCCCACCCCAGACAATAGTTTCTCAATATTATTTACTTCCAATACCCCAACCACAAAAANCCCACAAAAAAACCTGGTTCACTTCCCAAGATCCTTTTATACTTCCTGCTTCTATTTCCTTGCCTGTTTCTTAATCGCCATTTAACTTTTTAAAGCAATATTGTAAGGTCAGCAAGGATCCAGGAGTAATTGCCAGAGTGAAAGACAAACTGTAAACTGAAAACTTGCCACTGCAGTTCACATGTTAACCACTGCATTGTTCACCAACACAATCTATGTGGCAAAAACTGTGACAATGGAATCTGTGATGGATGTCACAGTGAGTGCAGTAGACATCATCTGTGCTCAGGGATTTAATCAATGCCAGTTACCAGTGGTCTGAAAGAACTAAACAGTCAGTAAGGAACTACTATACTATTCAGAAGGTCACTGGTTGAGCCTGGTGCAGTTTTTAAACATTTTCGCACACTCATGTTAAGTACGAGTCTGTTTAGTTTCCAACCCAGTGTCTACATCATTCCTAAATTGTTCTGCAATTGTAATAAAAGTAATACTCTTGTGTTCTGCATTGTTTTTAAAATTAAATCTCAATTAATAATTAAGTATTAATTGTACTAAGGGATGGGTATTCATAGAGTGATGAGATTGGATTCTTCTTTATCTAAATCAATCTTGTGATCTTGTGAGGTTTCAGTTTGGCTCAGTTTGTTTGCCTCTTGCCTCTGAATTATTTGAGATCAAATAAGACTCTGAATTAGAAGGTTGTGCACTACAATAACAACAACAAAAACAACAAAATTACATTTGTATAGAGCCTTTCACGTCAGGAGGATGTCCCAAAGCACTGGACAATCAGACAATCTTGTCGTCTCCTGCACAAGGATCTGGGACCCTATCATCCCTGTTCTTGCCTAGCTCCACTGGCTCCCCATTCCTCAGAAAATTGAGTACAAAACCCTCGTTTTTACCTTCAAGGCCTTCCATGGTCTTGCTCCCTCCTACCTCTCCAACCTCATAACCCCATATCAGCCTGTCCACTCACTTCGCTTGGTGGACTCCTACCTGCGTCAGGTCCCCCCTCACTTCCTGCCCCACCATTGGCGGATGGGCATTCAGCATCTCTGTCCCCACACTCTGGAACTCTATCCCCCAATCCCTCCAACTCACCCCCTCTCTTGCCTCCTTCAAGTCCCGTTTGAAGACCTTCCTCTTCGATAGTGCCTTTAGCCACCCTGCTGTGCGCAATTGGCTGCCGCGTTTCATCCACAAAATATACAATCAATTCACTTTACAATATATCCTGTGAAGTGCTTTAGACGTCTTAATGACATGATAAGGCGCTGTAAAAAAATGCAAAGATTATTAATATTATACAATACAAAATTACATTAGGATAGCACCTTTCATGTCAGTGATATCAGCAGTGACCTGATGACCTGGAAGTCGGCTGTTTATCACAGTTGGCTGAGATGTTGGACCCAATCTATAATGGGGTATTTTTCTGTTGTGAACTGGGTGGGGTGCAGTTGGTGCTTTTATGTTTGTTTCCAGACCTATCTGCCAATGTGAGTGATCCAGTGAGTGAGCTGCAAACTCAGGGACTGGCATTCAGAAATGCTCGTCTCCAACACAATGTCAAACTGCCCGACTCAATTGGCTCCCTATCCTTCAGAGTATCCAGTTCAAGATCCTGGTCCTCACATACAAAGCCTCCATGGCCTCGCCCCACCCTACCTCTGCGACCACCTAACCCCCTACCCACCCGCCCGCTCCCTCCGCTCAGCCGGCTTTGGCCTGCTCCACATCTCCTGACCCACCCGCCCCACCATTGGTGGGAAAGCCTTCAGCCACTCTGCCCCCAACCTCTGAAATTCCATTCCCCAGTCACTCCACCTCACCCTTTCGTTAGCCTCCTTCAAGTCCCACCTCAAGACCCTCCTCTTCGACCATGCCATCGGCCACCCCCCTTCCCCTCCCCTCCCTTCCCCTGCCCGACCCCAGCTCGGGTCTGAAATGCTGTACTCTGTCCAGCGCCTTGGGATGTCCTCCCGAAGTGAAAGGCGCTATACAAATGTAATCTTGTTGTTGTTGTTGAACAACACTGAGGATCAGAGGAATGGGGGTTCACCAGTACTGTTCATATCACAGGTAGTCCTCTCGCTTGTTGATGATCGCTTCCTTGACTTTCTTCCCACACTCCCTCCCCCCACACCCCACTAGGGTCTTTCCACTCACTGATTCTTTGCAGACATTTAACCATTATTTCAACCTCTTGCAAGCGAGAGGACCCGGGTTTGATTCACAGGCAAGGCAAAACCTTAGGCAAGTTTCCTTATTCCACACGCATCTGTTTACCTAGCAGTAAGTAGGAACCCGGTTGTTAGTCATTGGCAGATTGCTTTTCAGGGGTAATAATCCCTCCCAAAAAACAAATTTTGTCTCTCAACCCACGACTGTTTATGGGACACTGCTGCGTGCAATTAGCTGCCGCATTTTGCCACAAAATACACAGTCAATCCACTTTACAATATATTCTGTGAAGCGCTTTGAAACGTCTCAACAATGTGATAAGGCGCTATAACCATGCAAGAATTGTTATATAATATTATAATCTTGAAAGGACAGGATTTCAACCTAGGACCTTCTGGATCTAAGTCTAGTCCTCAGCTTATTGAAGGGATGCCCTGTGTGTGGGGGGAGGGGGTGGTGGCAATGACCGGAGGTGGGTAGGGGGAACCCTGGTGCGAGGAGGCATGTTTCGGAGGAATGCTCTGGGGGGTATGTGTGGGACTCCAGACCAGGGGAATGTGTGGGGAATGCCGGGGTGGGAGGTATTGGTGGGGGGTGCCTGGGGGCTAAAAGTATTGGGGAGATACCCAGCAAGTGAGTCTCAGCATCATGAAGTAATATAAAGCAAATTATGTTCATCATTTATTATGTTATTAATATAAATCTGCACACACTTTAATTTGACATACCCTCATGGGGGAGGATGCACATTACATTCTTTACATGTGTGTTTCAGCACTGCTACAAACTTAAGCTGGAAATAAATCCTACCACAGAACAAACAAAATCTTATGTGAACCCCAAAAAGTATGTCAGTGATCAGAAACAAAGCCCTGTGTGTGTGTCAGTCAAACACATTGATGCTGGTGAGAAGGAGGGATCAGGAGACATCAGATCATAGTCTTTGAGCTTGTGTCCTGGCAAGGAAAGCGAGCTCCTGTTTGCATTTACATGCGGTATTAAAAACAAGACAGTGGGTGACCCTCAAGCACTGAGCGGCTGCTCTGAGCTAGGTCCGGTACGCGGAGTTCATCCACTGTCGTCGTGAGTTCTGTATGGCAGGATCCATGTTCACGTACTCGCTGCTCTGCTCCTCTGAGGCCTTCATCATCTGCTCAAGAAATAAAAGATGATAAAAAATGAATACGTTCATGTGGTCCCCAGTAACACAGCGTCCCCCAGTAACACAGTGTCCCCCAGAACACAGCGTCCCCCAGAAACACAGCGTCCCCCAGAAACACAGCGTCCCCCAGAAACACAGCGTCCCCCAGAAACACAGCGTCCCCCAGAAACACAGCGTCCCCCAGAAACACAGCGTCCCCCAGAAACACAGCGTCCCCCAGAAACACAGCGTCCCCCAGAAACACAGCGTCCCCCAGAAACACAGCGTCCCCCAGTAACACAGCGTCTCCCAGTAACACAGCGTCCCCAGTAACACAGCGTCCCCCAGTAACACAGCGTCCCCCAGTAACACAGCGTCCCCCAGTAACACAGCGTCCCCCAGTAACACAGCGTCCGCCAGTAACACAGCGTCCGCCAGTAACACAGCGTCCGCCAGTAACACAGCGTCCGCCAGTAACACAGCGTCCGCCAGTAACACAGCGTCCGCCAGTAACACAGCGTCCGCCAGTAACACAGCGTCCGCCAGTAACACAGCGTCCGCCAGTAACACAGCGTCCGCCAGTAACACAGCGTCCCCCAGTAACAACAACAACAAGATTGCATTTATTGAGCGCATTTCACGTCGGGAGGACGTCCCAAGGCGCTGGACAGTTGGGTCGGGACCCGAGCAGGGGGGAAATGGTCAGGGTGAGAGGAGGGAAGGGAGGGAGCGAGGAGGGGGTAGAGAGTCGAGAGGGGAGCTGAAGGCACAGTTGAAGAGAAAGGTCTTGAGACCGGCCTTGAAGGAGGAAAGGGAGGAGGCGGCGAAGGCACTGGGGGATGAGTTCCAGAGCCTCGGGGCTGAGAGGCTGAAGGCCCGGCCACCGATGGTAGGGCGGTTAGGGCGGCGGATGTGGAGCAGACCGAAGCCAGAGGAACGGAGGGTACGGGCAGGTAGGTAGGGGGATAGTAGGTCGGAGAGGTAGGAGGGAGCAAGGCCGTGAATGGCCTTGTAGGTGAGGATGAGGATCTTGAATTCTTGAATTGTAACACAGCGTCTCCCAGTAACACAGCGTCTCCCAGTAACACAGCGTCCCCCAGTAACACAGCGTCTCCCAGTGACACAGCGTCTCCCAGTAACACAGCGTCCCCCAGTAACACAGCGTCTCCCAGTAACACAGCCTCTCCCAGTAACACAGCCTCTCCCAGTAACACAGCCTCTCCCAGTAACACAGCCTCTCCCAGTAACACAGCCTCTCCCAGTAACACAGCATCTCCCAGTAACACAGCATCTCCCAGTAACACAGCATCTCCCAGTCACAGAGGAATCTTGTATCCTGTGGTTTCATGCTTCTTGGCCAATAGCTCAACCCCCTTCCCACCCCAATTTTCTTTGAACCTGGCTCAGTTCTCATTCTCATCTCCACGTCAAAAGATTATAGGTTCACACCCATGTTGGGACCTGAGCTCACAATCTAGGCTGACGTTTGGTTGCAGCACTTAGGGGAACATTGCATTTTCAGAGGTGCCGTCCTTCAGATGAGACATTAAAACTAAGGTCTCATCTGCCTGGTCTTCTGGTAGACATTAAACATCCCCATGAATGGATGTCAAACGTTTCCATGACACTATTATTAATGGTAATAATAATCCTTGCATTTATTATAGTCAAGCCTGTTCAAGCAACTTCTTCCATTCAGCAACCACCCACTGTGGTTCTGGACAGCTCGGTTCGCACACAAACAATCCCTTACTCAGAGGCCACACTTATATAAAGGCTACTTTGGCCCAGTCCATGAGTGGTTGTTGAAGACCGGTTTGACTGCAGTGTCTTTCTCGGGAATTTGCTCTAAAGTGTAGAGTCTATATTTTGTGAACAGTATTCCAACAGAAAAGTCTTGGCCAACAACCCACCAGATAAATTGAAAATTATTCATCTCATGGATCTGGGACCTTGCAGTGAGCAAAACAGCTGCCTTGTCTGCTGAGAAGAAATTGTCACTACACTTGACAGTGATGCTTTCTGAGATGATGAGAGGTTATAAAATGCATGTTTACTTCGGTTGCTGAAAAACAGAGTCTGAGGAAGGAGACAAAGCAGAAAGCTACAGGAAAGAGGATAGCAGTCTCAAAGAGTAGTGGAGGGCCCCATTGTGAAGGTGGAGAGAGCGACGGAGGGAGAGCATTCGAGTCAAGCTCACGTGTACTTGCCTGCCATTGGACTTACTTCCACTGCTGCCCAGTCCATTTAGCTACAGGGAGCTCATCGGAATTGTGCAGCAGCACACGGTTCATGTCGACAGCTTCCCTCGTCCAGAAAGTACAGGTGGAAGCACCGAGAGACTGAACCCAGAGGGAAAACGGCGTTAAATAAAGGAACAAAAATATAAGAGGAGAATAGACAGACAGAGCAGGCCAGAGCTGATTAAGCCACGAAAGAAGGGAAGAGCGTGAAAGATAAATAAAGGAAAAAGTGGAAATAACTGCAGAGAAAAGTGCTGAGGATTGACCTAAGTGGCTCTCTGCTTGTCTGAGATGGACGATGAACCTATCAGCTTTGCAAAGTTTACTTCAGGAATCTCTTTGCATGTCGCACTTGCACATTTGTGTGACTGAAAATAGATTGGTCCCTCATGGGAGCTATTTGGTGAAGGAATTGATTTCTGAGGGGTATGAGAGGTCAGCATGATATTCCTTTACTTTCGAAATGACCAGCTGGACTGCGATGATCATTTCCTCACAAGATCTGTTCAGGCAAGGAAGGCCCTTTGGCCCATCTGATCTCAACCGTCCATGAATACCAACCGATGATAAAGCACTATATCAAATGCAAGGATTATTATTATCTGATCTCATCCTTCCAGAATATCCAGCCTATCATTCTCCCATCATAGCACCAAATTGTTTTTTTCAAATGCATCCAATTATCTTTCCTGCTAACCTGTTCCATTTGTTAATTAATCTCTGGGTAAAGAAAAACTTCCTGGTGTCTGTTCCGAAATTGCCCCCAACTCTAAACTGATATCCGCTTGTTCTTGGTGTGTCCTAAAGTTTTGTACTGGGTTTACTTTTTCAGTCCCATTTAAAATGTTATACACCTTCCGGTTCGTGTTGGCTTTCTTGTGCAGGATCCTGTTTGGCTTCACCCTTTGCTGTTCATGTCTGTTGGACCATTTTTAGAAAAGGGGTGTGGGGTACCTTGTGATGGAAGGGTTTGGGGTACTTACACAGTGAGCACAGGTGATGACGATGCTGTACAACAGGAAGACGAGCAGTAGCACCAGTACAATGACAGTAGCCTGAGTGAACTCATTGCAGTTCCCGGGCTCTGAAACAAACAGAGGGAAGAAAGGTCAGCACAGGTGAGAGCATCCACCAATCTCAACACCCCCGCCCACCACCCCACACATTTCTCTCTCCCTCTCCTTCCCCCAGCAATTCACAATTACCACCTGGCCAACACAATCTACACAATCTCTCCCGCAGCACCCACCACCACCCCGCCAACTCGAACCACAGAATCTCCACACACCCTCACCAACACAATCCCCCACCCCCTATCCCTGTAAACACAATCAGCTCCATATGAAAGGAGCTCTCAACACTGAGAGAACTCAGAAGTGAAGCAGAAGTGGAGCCAGATTTGTAGCAGGAACCCACTGCTACACATGGTTACATCTCTACAATCTCATCCTGTTTTGTCTTTCAGAGCAGTGAGATCACCACATCAGCCACACTGAACTGACAAACATTACCTTCTCTTTGATGTGGGCTTGAATTAAAAACTGCTCAGCATGATCCAGTTTTAAACAAAGACTTTCAGAATATCTTTAGCGAGGTAGAGAGAACGTGTGTGTGTGAAAGAGACAGAGAAAAAAGTTGCACACCGGAATCCTCAGATCAGGTTTGACCACAAATACAGTCACTTCACATTACAGTAAATCCCAAGAAGCTCTTACAGACGTTCTCCTGATGTGAAAGGCACTAAATATAAATTGCATTGTATTGCAGTTACTACACTACACAGTAAATTCTACAAAGCATTTTAAGACATTATTCTTATATTGTATCCTGTCATCTGTCACATCTCCCTGTAAGTATAAAAACAATCCTTCCATTTGATGCAGTGCCTCTCACATCATTGAACATCTTCAAGTACTTAAACTGCAGTGACTGTATTTGTCAGGACACCGGGAGAAACTCTCTTCTTTTTTTGATTGGGGCTCGTGGGAGCTTTACTGTCCACCCTAACAGGCAGACGGACCTTGTTTTACCGTTTCACCTGAAGTACAGTTTTCCTTGCAATAATCCTCTTTAGCTTGGATATAGAAGACCGTGCCATTGCCGATGCTGTTGATGATGGGCGGTGGGTGCATCTTCGTCACTTTGCAGTAATACATGTTCGTGTCCAACATGTTCAGGCCACTCAGGGTTATTGAGACTTTGTCCGCACTGGGCTTGCCCAGGCAATGAAAGGTCTGATTCTTCTCAAAGGGCAACATGCTGGAGTTGAAGGATGCAACACAGACCTCTGCCTCCTTTACGATTCTTCCTTTATAAATGGTTATCCTGAACTCCTCGCTCAAGGTCCCTGTGAAGATGTAGCCGCACACCATAGTGATTGTCCCGGTACTGTCCGAGCTATTTGCCATTAAAAACTTTGGCTGAGTCACTTTCAGTTCTGAAAAAAAGAGGCAACAAGTTATTGTTATTTTATCCTCGTCTCTCTGCCCGGTTGACTCCCGTTCACTACCCCCAGTCTCTATCACGGTGTCTGTGCACTGGGCCACTAAGATAATCATAATAATGCTTGCATTGATATAGTCAACTATAATATATATAGTAAAATCTAGTCAAAACAATAATAAATTGTTCATTTTCAATCCACGACTGTTTGTGGGACACTGCTGTACGCAATCGGCTGCCGCGTTTTGCCCACAAATATACGGTCAATTCACTTTACACCATATTCTGTGAAGCACTTTGAGATGTCTAGAAGACGTGAAAAGCGCTATATCAAATGCAAGGATTATTATTATTATAACAGTGTCATGGGATTTTTAACATCCACCTGAAAAGCAGAGGGGACTTACATTTTTACTGAAAGATGGCACCTCAGCATTGCATTGGACTATGTGAGTTCAAGTCCCGATATGGGATTTGAGCCCACAATCTAAATTCTGACTCAGAGGGGAGAGTGTTACCACTGAGCCATGCTGATAACAATCCAAAGGATTTAGGTTTGAATCCCGATCAGTGCTGAGTTAACGGATCTCAGCCGAAGCAGCACTGGGTGTTTGGGTGCACTCGTTCCATAGGCCTTACAGAATCCTGCTCCAATCCTGAGGTGAGCTGGACTGACCCAGATCAGAAATGCAACGTGCAATGGCTCTCCAAACAGTGCGCAGCTGTGTTGCTTGAGTGACACACATAAAACCAGAGCCCACTTGTGTCTCAGCATTACACACTGTGGATTTAAGTGTAGGAGAGTGAAGAGCAAAGAGACAAAGAAAGGGATACAAAGGAGAGAGAAGAGACCTCTCTTTTTCTCTCACTCTCTCAAACTCTGATCTGCACAGATTGGGCACAGAGACTGTGAAAGACACCTCAAAGTGGGGAACACGTATTCTCCCAGTTTTTTGGTCAACTGAGTATCTGACATGTGTGGAAGCCCAACACGGTGCCAAAGAATATCCATACCAGACAGAGAGTTCCACATATGCATGCCATCTGCATGTAGAAATTTCCCTGTGTCTGGAATGGAATGCGCACTCTCACTCCAGGGAGGGATGCATTCTGCTTACCTAATTCTGAAGAGTATTAGTCGGAGGTTGGTGAGAGCCAAGCTTTTCTCCATAACTCCTAATACCTTGACTCCCTCCATCTCCACCTCCACCTATACTCACCTTAAGACCTCCCTCTTCGGCCCCCTCACCCATCCCCCAGCTCTCTCCCACTCTCTCTGCAGCTCCGGCTTAAGCTCCCAGTCAGTTGTGTTAAGCATTTTGACACGTCTTCCCGACGCTGATGCCACTGCAAAACGTTGTAAAGCCATGAGATTTCCAATTGATATTAGCATTAATTCCCTGAATGAATTACAGAGCCTCAAGGCTGAAGCTCAGAGCAGACCCACACAACCAATCACACAACCCAACACACAATGTCCACCAGCCCACCAAACTTCGGGCATATTACTGAGTTGAATGTCTTAAAATAATAGTCCTTGCATTTGATACAGCCTTTTTCAGCAGAAAGGCATCTCAAAGTGCTTCACAGAGTTTACTTTAAAGTGCAGTGACGAACCCAGCTGCCAATTTACACACAGCCTTGTCCACACCTACACCCTTGAACCGAATGGCCAATTTTATCTGGCGGGAAAGGTGGGGGGATGTTGTCCACAACACTGCACTAAACTCCCTTTTCTTTCCAAGAGAAATTCCAAGTGGAATCTTTAACGTCCACTTGAACAACCAGACGGGACCTCAGTTTAACGTCTCGTCCAAAGCACCGCATTGCTGCACCCCCAGCAATGCTTTGGAGCATCAGCCTTGAACTGTGAGTTGACAATGCTAAAGTGGAGGCTTGAATGCTCAACGTTCTGACTGAGAGGTGAGAGTGCGGCTAACTGAGTCAGGCTGGCTCCTGATGTGTTAGACTTGGTGCAAACTCTAACCTGACCGACGACTGCGCATAACTCACGAACAAGGAGAGGAGATAAAACCTCGTGTTACCTTCCATCTTTATTGCCATCAGGAGCCAGGCTGACCAGATCGCCAGGCTGACAATGTATCTCCTCATGTTGCTGTTGCTGCTTCTCCCAAGGCCCAGACTGAATCTGAACAATGCACAGTGCTCTTCTTAAATGAGCTAGAGGTGTGCGTATGGGGCGGGGGTGTGGGGGCGCAGGGGAAACAGGATGTGGAGTTTGTGTGGCAAGATATGACAGTGCCAGATGGTTTAGGAGGCTGCAACCAAGATTTAATTACAAGTTATTGTTCATCGGATAAAGGCACTGCCTGATGGGAACTTGCACGATAGAAAGCTCCCAGCTTTGACTCTATGCTGTGCCTTGCTGATGTAAACCGGCCAGTGGTTGGTGTGGGTCGGGTAGTGTCGGGTTGTTGATGGTGGTGGCTTGGCTTCAATAGACCACTGTGCCCCCGGAAAAGCAGTTAGGCTCCTCGTTCCTGATTCCCATTCAGAGCCATCCCACGCCCGCTCAGTTGTAACGCACTCTGCAAACTGAGATTAACTGAAAACTGAGATTAAAATGGCAATGACCAGCAATCTAACCTGGACACCCTCCTTGACTGTTTCACACCGGCTGTGTTAGCAGCTGAGCAGTGGGAGGAGACTCCGCCAGAGAGAGTTGGTGTCCAGAGAAAGCTGACTTAACACAACAAAAAGCAACAACAAATTGTATTTATATTGCACCTTTCATGTCAGGGGGACATCCCAAGACATTGGACAGTTGAGGGTTTGCACCCAAGGTGTGGATTGGATTCAGGAGGGGTCTGGGCCAAAGGATGTTAGGGTGGAAAGATGACTGAAGGCACAGTCAAAGAGGAAGGTCTTGAGAATACATTGAAGGACGCAAGGGAAGAGGCAAAGTGAATAATGCAGCTCATTAGTGCTTGTGGTAAGTGCAGGCAAGACTCTGATCCTGGAAGAGGTGGGTTAGTCTAGCCCAGTTCTTGGTGAATTTGAGCAGTGATACAGCCCTTTGTCACCAGGCGCTGGTTTTATCATTGCATCGATAATAATAATCTTTGCATTTGATATAACCCCTTTTCACATCGCCCAGATGTCTCTAAGTGCTTCACAGGATATACTGTAAAACAGATTGACTGTGTACTTTGTGAGCGAAATGCGGCAGTCAGTCTCCCAAACAGCCATGGAGTGAGTGACCAAATTTTCATTTGAGGGATTATTGGCCGGAACACCAGTAGAGAGAAATTCCCTTCTCTTTTCGAATATTGCCGTGGGATCTTTAACAAACCTGAACAAACAGACGGGACCTCGATTTAACATCTCATCCAAAGGATGGCACCTCTGACAACGCAACACACTCTGAAGCACTGCATTGAGTGTCAGCCTATTTAATTGTTAACTACTAGCAGTTGTTGTCCATTGACTGTACCGCTAGAAGCGACGCTGAGCAGTTTGTATTCTGCAGAAGCCCACTGTGAGGCCTGGGGTTTAATACGTTCCCCATGAAATTTACAACGCAGTAAATTTACAGAAGAGTGTCATTCGATCCACCGGGTCTAGACAAACGTCCAGGAACAAAACTGCCAAGATTATTCAACCACAAACGTGTTGTGGTTTTATTGAGACAATTCAGTATTGATTGAAACCATTTACCAGCCCTCATTAGATTCATTTCTATTTAGTTCAAAATGCTGGTTACGCTTCCTACTCAAAGGGACAGTACCTAATGTGACTCTAATGGAATTTCCATCCATGTAATGCTAAATATATCTATAACCTTGATTAGACCACATTTGGAGCACTGTGTGCAGTTCTGCAGTCTCCATATTACAGTAAAGATATTGTAGCACTACATTAGAGAGAGCTCAGTGTAGATTTACAAGGGTGTTACCAGGGATGTGTGGATACAGCTATCAAGAAAGACTGGATTGGGTTGGAGCTTTTCTCTCCAGAGTTGAGATGATTGAGAGGGAACTTAAGAAGAGGGGTTTACAATTATGAAAGGAATTGATAAGGTGGATGTTGATGGGTTGTTTGCCCTGCTTGTCCTGTCCACACTGGAACCTTCCCCCATGTATGTTACACCTCCAGATTCTGACGATCAGGACCACAGTGTACACCAGAACAGTAGGGAGAGTGGTGAGGAGGACAGACCAGAGAAACACCTCGTCCCACTCGTTCCCTGAAAGAGAAACTGTTCAGTATGAAGCTGAGGAAAGTCATAGCACAAAGTAACACGGTGATAATATTTTGCCCAACTGGTCCATGCCAGTGTTTATACTTACACAAACCTTCACCCCTCCTGTACCCTCCTATTCCCTTCTCACTCATGTGTGCCTGCCTCTTAAACAAATTAATGCTATTTGCTTCGACCATAATTTTCGAAGGTGAGTTCCACTTAGTCATTGTCCTCTGAGTGAAGGGATTCCCCCTAACCTCCTTATTTCTTCGGATGAGATGTTAAACTGAGGCCCCATCAGCCTGTTCAGAAGGATGTTAAAGATCCTGTGGCACTATTCAAAAAGAGAAGGGAGTTTCTCCCGGTGTCATGGCCAACAATCCCCCCAAATAAATTGGTCACTCACTCCATGGCTGTTTGCGGGATATTGCTTGCAGGATGTCACATTCGCCACAAAATACAGAGTCAATCCTCTTTACAGTATATCCTGTGAAACACTTTGAGATGTCTTTGATAAGGCACTATACCAAATACAAGGATTTTTATTATTAACCACTTCCAGTGATTACATACTGCATGGATGCCCTCTCATTTTGGACTTGTTTTTGTGTAAGGAGAAGTGCATTTAGGTGTCAGCCTAGCTCTCGGCAGCTCTCTCGCCTCCGAGCCAGAGGACCCTGAGTCCAAGCCCCACAGGAGTGTGGGAAGAAGACAACAACAACAACAAATTGCATTTATAGTGCCTTTCCCGTTGGGAGGATGTCCCAAGGCAATGAACACTTACAGATTTGCACCTGAGCTGTTGTGATCAGAGAGGGGTGGAGGGAAGGGGGTGAAGGAAAGCGATAACTGAAGGCATTTTCGAAAAGGAAGGTCTTGGTATGGGCCTTGAAGGAGGCAAGGGATTGTGCAAGGCGGAAGGGCTCAGGGAGAGAGTTCCAGAGGCTGTTGGCAGAAAGGCTTAAAGCCCAACCATCAATGGTGGAGTGGGCAGGGCGGGGAATGTGAGGCAGGCCAGTGCTTACAGAGTGAAGGGAGCAGACAGGTGGGTAAACTTTTAATAGGTCGCGGAGGTAAGATGGATCAAGATGGTAGAGGGCTTTAAAGGTAAAACCACTCACACACAGCAGTGTGCAGGTACTGCTTTGTGCTGGTAAACCACACGGTATTTGTGCTGCTCCAACATTATGCACTTTAGGGTCCCCAATGCAATGGCTTCTGCAAACCTGCATCTGTGTTATCCATATATGGGGAAAGCAGGTGCGAATGTGGAAGGAGGGACTGCACTCTGCAAAAACAGCAAACAGCAACTCTGCTACTTCCTCGCTCAGCCCCCTCAACACACTTCTGTGCTGCTCATGAATACTGACTAGGACAACATTTTAAAGGGCCCCTGCCCCTTATAGGTGCTCAAGCCCCTGAATTCCGCCCAGTATTACATCACTCCCACCCTCGCTCGCCTCCACTGGCTCCCCATCCCCCAGAGGATCAAATTCAAGATCCTCATCCTCACCTACAAGGCCACTCACGGCCTTGCACCCTCCTAACTCTCCGACCTACTATCCCCCCACGTACCTGCCCGTACCCTCCGTTCCTCTGGCTCCGGTCTGCTCCACATCCCCCGCCCTAACCGCCCTACCATCGGTGGCCGGGCTTTCAGCCTCTCAGCCCCTAGGCTCTGGAACTCCATCCCCTAGTGCCTTCGCCTTGCTTCCTCCCTTTCCTCCTACAAGGCCGGTCTCATGATCTTTCTCTTCAACCGTGACAACAACAACAACAACAACAACAACAAGATTCCATTTATAAAGCGCCTTTCACGTCAGGAGGACGTCCCAAGGCGCTGCACAGTTGGGTCATGACCCGAGCAGGGGGGAAATGGTCAGGGTGAGGGGAGGGAAGGGATGGAGCGAGGAGGGGGGAAATGGTCAGGGTGAGAGGAGGGAAGGAAGGGAGCGAGGAGGGGGGAAATGGTCAGGGTGAGGGGAGGGAAGGGAGCGAGGAGGGGGAAGAGAGTCGAGAGGGGAGCTGAAGGCTCGGTCAAAGAGACTTCAGCTCCCCTCTCGACTCTCTACCCCCTCCTCGCTCCCTCCCTTCCCTCCCCTCACCTTGACCATTTCCCCCCTGCTCGGCTCCCGACCCAACTGTCCAGCGCCTTGGGATGTCCTCCCGATGTAAAAGGCGCTCTATAAATGCAATCTTGCTGTTGTTGTTGTTGTAGTATTAGCCTGTCTTTAACAGTTTAAACTGGTCCAGAATTGTGTATAAGTCTTCAACGCAGCCTTAATTTAGAAGTCGGTTCTCCGCAGTTCTTAAAAAGAACCAGCTTCCAAGTCAAGATTGAATTGAAGAGTTTTACACAATTCTGCGCAAACCTGGATTTTTAAAGGCAAAATGGTCTCCCGACTAGGACTAGGTGGAACTTCAAGCCTCAAACCTCCTCAGTTCTCAACACCTGAGTTTTATTTACAGAGGGAAGAATCTCAGACTCCGGTCTCACCAAATAACCTGGCCTGCTCCAGTATGAGAGCCCCATTGAGCTCTATATGCTTATAGACTGTGACAAAACTGAAATATTCTCTGTTTGCAAGCCAGAATCTCACACTCCTGCCTCCAAAGTACTGTATAGATGTCTTTGCCCTGTTGGACCAACCCCCTCCTGAGGTCAACTGATTTATTGCAGCACATTGATCAGTGTGTCTGGTTTCTCTGTAATGTCCCGTTCCCTTCAAGTCAACAATTCACAAACTGCTGGTCCCACTGGTGGACAGTTAAGAAACTGCTGCTCCCTCCAGTGGATACATAACTAACTGCTGCTCCCTGTGGTGGCTGCTCACTAACCTCAGCAAGTCGTACAGAGAACTGACAGTCTCAGATAGAAATGTTTAAGGAATGCCAAAAAATTGAGGCTCTTTTGAGACATTCTCGACATTATTGAGACTGTATTAGTTCCAGGGCTGTACTAATAATCCTTGC